TCTTTATCTAGTCTTTAACCATATAATATGTTACTAGAAAATACTTGGTTAGATGAAGGCATTTTCCAATGCATTAACTGTTGTCAGTATCTAATGGTTAAGCTTGTGTATGTAAAAAAAAATATAAAAGCAATAAACAAGACAGAGGTTGTCAGCAGCAGCTTCTGCCTCTGCTCAAGACGTGCCTGTGACTGCTTCTTAGCATCTTACATTAGTGAATGGATATTAGGGCTTCTGAACCAATTTCTTTTGTTATATCTTTTTTAGGTGTACAGAGGATAGCAGTATTAACTAAAATTCAGTGGCGTACCAGATGTTTCCTTTTTCTGGGTGGGATTGCAAAACTGATAAGAAGCATGCTAGCTCATTTAAATCTTGATTCAGAGGCAGAATTTGCAGCTGAGTTTGTAACTGTAACTAAAACAACCCTTCAGCTGCAGGGTCTGCTTCTGAATCTAGATTTAATTGGATTGCCCACATTTTGTTGCAGCTATGGCCAGAAGCATACCAAACAGAAAAAAAAGAAAAAAAAAGTTTTTATAAGACTAAGGACATGCACTTTTCAAAGGAAAACAGAGTTCAGTTTCTCATTGTAGTAAGAAATTAGTGACGTATCACTCTCTACAAAATGGGTGTCAAACTCGCCACGTGATGTGTCACGATATATCGTGACTTTTTTCCGCATTGCCTCCGCATGATACAACCATGGGCTGGCAGCTTGATACCCCTGCTCTACAATCTTCAGAATGGAAATTGAGAGCCTATGTCAATTGCCTCTTATATCTTGAGCTCTTGGTGCTAAGTTGTTTTCCTGCAGACATTCCATTACCACTATAGGTATCATAATCAGTGCAAAGGAGAGGGGAGTTTGCTGGCTGTTTATTGTAGATTGTGCTATCTCTCTTGAGGGTGAGAGCCTATGGCCACTGCATTACAATGACCAGCAATTGCAGCCAAAAAGGTCAGTGGTAAGAGCTGTTATTCAGTGTAGGCACTGCATACCCAAGATGAAAACCTTTATCTTGTCCAAAGGCACAGTGGAATTCAATTATTTTTATTCCTTTATAACAGCATTCCCCAATCTTTACAGCTTGGCAGCCGGGTGGAGGCGGAGAAAGGAACTGCCTGTGCATATGTGCGCACAGGTGTGCCGGCCCACCACTTGTGCAAGTCGAGTTGCGCACATGTATAACAGGTAGGGGGAACAGGCCTAAAAATGTATATAGATTTAAGATCTATTGTTATCAATTTGTCATCTATTTAAATTTTCTGTTTAAACTTTAGTGACTAACTGCTTAAGGCCTTTATCTTAGAAAGTTTTAATTGCAACTTTATATATCTAGTGATATTTGAATCTTATCTGTAATTAACCCAAATACTATTTAATAAATTGTATTAACTGGATAAGATATTGGGGGGATTGGATTTCCAAAGCATGTAAAACTTCTTAATTTTAGGATGCAAGACAAAAGAAATATAAATCATGTTTTGTTAAATTAAATACATATCAAGTCTTTCAAAATAATGTCTGGTATAGGTAAATGTTAAGTGATAGAACTAAAGTTATAACATAGAATACCCTCTAACAAAGGAGACAACCCCCGCCCCCCAAACATAAGTATGTGAAGGTTAAAAATTGATCTACAATTTAAAAAGCTTTAGGAAGATAATCAAAATAGAATTTGAATGAGACAATAGTCCCAAGATGAGCAATTCTTAAGAAAGGCATTTCAGAGACCAAGGGCAATACTGACTTGCCTTTAAAGAGCAATACTTAAGTCTTCAGGAATACCAAATACTTAATGAAAAGGGAGAAGAGAAATTTAGTCATTTTATATTGTAAGTGAAACATGCATCTCCTTCTTGCTCCTTTTGGTCCTCTCTCCTTCGAACAATAAAACAATTGGATTCACATGTCTTGTTAAGTCTTAATGCCCAATTTCAGTTTAAAATTAGTGACTTTGTAGCAGGAAAACTGTAGTGGTAGCAAAATATCAAAGAGTCTGCTATTGGTCTTCCACTGTGATTTAAAAATTATATTTTATGGCTCAACTGTTGAATTGTGATGTATGAATGTGTTGGCCAGTGCCAATACTGAGTTCATTCACATAGTGTGATGAGCCATTGAATCATGCAGAACTGAGGAAAATAGAATCCAAACACTTTATTTCTGTGCAGAAGCAAATAGGCATCTTCCTTTATTTCAGGTATGGACTTGCTTGCAAAATTTCTTAGCAATGTTCCTTAGCCATATTCCTTCACTAAACTAACACCTCCTATATGTGGTTAGTCCCCTCAGCTTCAGTTGGGAAACAGCTATACTAATACTTCTCATCAAGAAATTGTGGAGCAGCTGTCCAGATGAAGTCCGAGACACTGACAAGCTTGTAGTGAACTCCAAACAAATTTTTTCCTTATTAAAATCTTTAAATTTATGCCCCTTCTGTCATCAGACTTCATTTTAATAAACATGTGTGGCATGTTGGAAATATGTAGCATGTATGTAGCATGCAAAGGGGAAGTTACTTTTGTCCTGTCCGATCACCTTTTCTCTTGCATTTTCTTTGATGTCTTAAATATAAAAGGGAATGTAAGATGGGTCTCAAGTTTCCCTCTTTAAATGAGAGAAATCCCTTTTATCAGAATACTCTGAATAAATTGTAATTAATGATCTACCTGTCTTGGTCTGTCTCGTTGGAAAATACGCATGCTGAGGCACAAGCATAAAAGGCCATATTTGGCCTACAGTCTTAGCATCAGTAGATAATTTAATATGTAATAATTTTTGGCACAGCCCTGACTGAAGCTACTTCTTTGAATAATTTATATGCTAATGTTAAAAACTAATCAATATATTTTACTGAGGTGTATGTTCTGCTACATAAGCAGAGGAATACAAGATTCAAAAGTACAAGATTGATTTAAAAAATTTCTTCACCCTGGAGAAAAAGTTGAAGATACCTTGGAAATATACATTTGCTACAGAGTTGGCAACATTTACCTTTTTCTGAAACCAAGACACAAATTAATAGCTGATGTGGTGCACTTATTCTACACTCCTGTTATGTGCTCCAGGCTACTTTCCTTTGCAACCAGTGGCAAACTTGCCTGATCAATAACCAGCCAAGACACAGTTAAGACCACCTTGTTTCGTTTATTGCAATAAGCAAGGAGAGAAGCTTTCAAAGCTTGGTTTTCTCCAAAGTTCATCATCTCAAATCAACATCTTTATACATTCCCTACATCGACCACCCATCCCTCTTTGTTCCCAATTGGCTGAGGTACTATGAGGTTACATTCTCTCTGACCACCTTCTACATATTTCCTGCTACCCTCCCCAAATATACTAAATCATATATCACATGCATTTAAATGAGCATGGTCTTCCTGGTTATGTTATGGATTCTTAGAACAATAGTTTCTTTCCTGTTATTCAGTTAGTTTAATTTTGTCTTTCCTGTCTTTCCATTAGTTTTGTTTTACTTTTAAGCTAGCTATTTCCTCTTGCGGCTACTTCCTCTTACAATTTTAAATTTTGAAGACCTTTCACTTATTCCTATCATTCCTTAGATGAAGTCATTCAGCTAACAGGCTGCATCTAACACTAGTATTGCCTAACTTTTATTTTACCATTTTATCAGAGAGAATATAATGAGGGACTCTGTTAAAGGTTTTACTGGGTCCAAGTATATTATTTATAAGGCATTGTGGGACTCACAAGTCCTTCTCTATGTCTTACAGATAACAGAGAATAGTTTTGCAATCCTTTCCACAACTTCCTTCAGTCTCTTTGAGAAGTAATCCATTTAACGCTGGTTAGGTTTAAATTAGCAGAATAGTCTTTCCTTATCTAGTAAAAAAATGCAGTTTCCTGGTTGCCCCAGCAGTGTAGCAATTAACTAGGGGTTGATCTGTCTGCCTGTCTTTCACTGTTTGCCCCACATCTTGCTGCATCTCTGTTTCTATTCTGTTTCTGAAAGAGGTTAAAAAAAAAGTTCCGCTTTTTCACTACTGTATTACAAACTGGCTATTTTCTCCTTACAACAGACCTACATTTTTCATTTTTAACATAGCAGAACTATTCCTTAGCCCAGTATTTCTCAACCTCAGCAATTTAAAGATGTATCAACTTTAGCTTCCAGAAGCTCCTAGGCAAAGTTGAGAAACAATGGCTTAGTGTTTATCAGGGTTCTGAGCTTCTGACTTTCCCTAGTTTCTGGAAACGACCTTGTACTCTTGTTGGGTCCTTAGGCCTGCATGATAATGTACATTGTATGTATGTGGTGTAAAGCAGGGTCCCCAACCCCCGGTCTGTGGACAGTACTGGGCCACACCATGCCAGCAACTGGTCTGCACAAATGAGCAAAGCCCCATCCGTGGGATGCAGGCAGCACATTAAATCACACACTCTCCAGTCCATGGAAAAATCTTTCTCCACGGAACAGGTCCCTGGTGCCCAAAAAGTTGGGGACCTCTGGTGTAAAGTATAGTTACTGAAAAGGACTTTCCCAGCCACCGGTAAAGCCTTTTTCTGGCATTTCTAGTTGACGTTTCTTTTAAGGCTTTTGAAGCCTTATGCAAATTATCTATCACTCGGCCTTATTTGGAATACGAAGACACTTATTTGTTCATGAAAGACACCCAAAACAATGTACTCGAAGATTTTTAAAAAAAAAATATTACAGGATAAACTGTAAAAAGCTTGAATGACTTGTGGTAATTTCCATCTCCTATCTTCAATTTTATTGCAAACTTTGAAAAGGCCACCATGCCTGTTTTTCCCCCTTTATGCATTTGGCATAATGCATAATACTAGACTATACCTGAATTAATTGGCTAAAATTCTACATACATTTTTGTTATAAGAGAGGGAAAAAAACACGTTTGGCCCCTCCGGTTCTTTTTCACCATAGCCCGTTAACTCGTGGGTTTCATTTTCCTGCGCCAAATGTTTGGTCCCTCCTTGCTCTCGACCATGCGGGAGCTCTTGTGCTCCGCCTTCCTGCCTGCAGCTGCAAAGCCGAAAAGAAGCACGTCTTAAGGTGGTTGTTGCTTGGTTCGTTCCTGTGTTGTTCGACTGCGCTTTTTCTTTGAACTCCTGACGCGGAGACCTTAACGTTATCAGTGCGCTTCTCCAGTTTGATCTTTAGTAAAGCTCCAGTCAGCCCTTCCGTTTCTGGTGAGCGGTCGAATTGGACTGGATCTCCGTTTTAAAGCAAAGCCAAAGTAGACCCTGGCTTGGTAAGTTTTCCAGGACTGGTTTTCTTACGTATTTGGACAAGCGATGTGACGCAAGACTGCCTTGAAACAAAAATAACTGCTATGGAATTTTGCGCACTATTTAAAATTATGACTACAGGATTCTGAAACTAGGTGAATCTGTTGACTTTGTGCAATATAAGCCGGCAGGGGAGATAAGGGGGCGGGGGGGAGGGAAAGCAGACTTTCTCAAGAGTTGTTTAATTGTATTTTTGGTTAAACATATGTTCTAGAATGTTTTATAATTTTTATGAGTTGCTATAAGAGCGTTGTTATTGCTGTAAATATTTCTTGATTTCTCTTTTCCTTCTTCCGACTATTTTGAAGATGCTCTTAAAACAGATTTTCAGTTTGGTGATCAGAAAGAGGTAATTACAGGTCTACTTGTGCAAAAGAAGTGCTGCTTATTGCTTCGGCCCTACTTCAAAATGTGTTGACAGACACCATGGATGGGGGGGGGGGATAGGGTCGCGGATGGTGAAGCCAGAACCGAGTTCAGTTGTGCCTTCTGCGCGCGATGAGGTCGATGCGGTGCAATGGTTTACCTGTAGATTGCGATTATTTTTAAGCAGGCAGCTCGTGGCTATCCTGTCAGCTCTTGCTAATAAGGGGCTGTCTCCTGTAATAGCTTTTAAGAACTAGTTTGTAAACAGCTTCCATTATTTGGAGCCCTTAAGATGGAAAGTAGGAATGTAATTCCCAGTTGTAGCTCCTACAGATCTGAAGGCACCACGGTGGAGAAGGCTATTTAAAGTCATCCTCAGGGCATAATCTTGGAGAAAAAGTGTGCTAGGAGTGGTTTGTCTGTGTTGTTATTCACGCTGTTAGTTTTCTTTGCGTTTTAGCGTTCTTATCTCCTCCCCTCCTTTTCTCCTCACCGTTTGCCTCGTTTTTTAAAAATAAGTTTTATTAAAGTTTAAAAACGCAAGGATAAAAAACTAATACAAATTAATAAAAAGAAGTGCGGAGAAAAAAATGGCGGACAGATAAAAATATAAAGAAGAAAATATATAACCTTATCTTTATATTTTTAAACCATTTCCCTCCCTTTAAAGGCTGATTGCACGAAGTTTGCTTTTGAAGATACACTTTTAGCCTTCTAGCACGAATTTGTTTTTGAAAACTTAAAAAACAAGCAATGTGCACCTGAAAAGATAACTGAGTTACTTTTGTGCTGAAACGTTAATATTGGCCATTTCCACTCCCGAGTATTATACTAACATGTTTAGATCATGTTTGCTTTTCTTATCCCCTCGGAGTGAAGTGGAAATGTGAATTCTTTCAGTTTTATTTGCAAGATCTTCACCAGATGGTGGCATATCACATTTTGTTTCTTTATAAATGAGGTGTGAGGACTTCTCTCATCTTTTATCACTTTTTATTTTGCTTATATTTGGTATTATTAGTAATACAAAGTAAAGATACTAAGTTCTGCCTTTAGAAGCAAGATTATAGTTTCTGTACATACCTCGCTTAATGGATTTTCTAATCTAATTAGTTCTGGAAGAAAACCACTTTTTGAATTGTTTTAAGAACCCTTGCTGCTGTAGAATATGATGAAAACATCTGTTCTAAGTCAGTTCTATATTTCCATTTGTAATTTCAAATTTAAGCATTTAACTCGCCAATGTAGTCTATTTTAAAATATTTCTAGTCCATTTAGGTAAGTTTTCCAGTGCCCTCCCAAATAGTAAAATCAGTTTCAGCAGAGCAATAAAACTTGTTCATGGAATTCTTGCGTAAGCTTTATATTTCCTACTATATAGAATAATAATTACTTTTGCAAATAGTTTTTCCTTAGCTTGCCTAATCCTTAGCTTGCCTAAAGTGTACACATTTACTCAAGGCATGACATCTTTTCAGTGCTGGTCCTTCTTTCATAAAGCTTCTCCATAGGCAGGAATCCATATATAGTTATAGTTTGGTTTATTAACTAGGAAATTAGCTTAATAGTATCAGGGAGGAACATCAGTTCTGGTCTATGTTGGCATCAGAGACACTTGGAGTATTAATTTTTCTAAGTGGCTGGTTTCAGTTGTATTGATTGTTGAGATAGATCAATCTCAGATGCTTTGGTAAGGGGTGCTATGGGGCTCATCCCTTTCTTCTTGCTGTTTAATATCTAAATGAAGGTCTGTTAGCATGAAGTAAGTTATCATAAGGCTGTAGAAGATACCCAGTAATATGCCTTGATTCCAGACTTTAAAAGAGATAAAGTGAAGATCCTAACATGCAGGGCTTTTTTTGTCATAGAACGCCCAGAATGGAGTTCCCGCACCTTTTTTGGATGGAACCTTGTAGGGTAGGCAATACAGGTTGTATGACATGTGTGAGTTCCAGCACATTTTTTTTTTTTTTTTACAAAAAGAGCACTGCTAACATGGTAGGACATTCCTAAGACTTGATGGGAAAAAGTAATCTTCAATTAAACCTAGCAGACTGAATAACTGGATTCAAAGGAATAATCCATCTTATCTTTGGACAAAGGGGTGCTTCTCTAGCTTGAGTCTGCCCATCTGGTAAGAGAGTGAGAAAGCTTTTTTAATGGTCCCTCCACCTAAAGGAATGCAATATACAGGGTTTCTGCATTCCACTCTTATCAGTGATGCTCCCATAAGTATGAACTTGGGAGTAAGGAGGAATGTTTGCAGAACAACACTTGATGGACATTTGTGTTTCATATGGGGACCAGCCTCTACTAATATTAAAATAGAGCGAAGAAGAACGCAGATTAAGACAATGCTCCTGAATGTACTTGCTAATAAAGGAAGAGTTAAAATAGATACATTATCTAGTGTTTAAGATTTTGTCACCTAACCCCTCTGACAACTTAATTTTCTTACTGCTTGAGGTGATAGATTACCCAGCTTTCTGGACTGCTCCCTTGTTGTGCATCCAGAAAATTAAGAAGATAAGGTTTTCTGGAAATTATGTAGGGGCAATGTGGATTAATCTATCCTCTTAGGTGGTGTTCTTAACTGTTATTGCTCTATTGTGATGAGAATTGTATTTAACCCTTTATATTGCCGGGAAATTGAGTGGCATAAAATCTGTGGTAAATAAATTGAGCTAACAATAGACATTATTCTTGGACAACCTGAAAGTCCACAAAGTCATTATTAAATCACTATATCCTAATGTGTTAAGATACTTAAATTTAACAACTAGAACAGTGGGGGGTTGTACATGAACCAGAACACAGTTATTGTTGATTGGTTGAAGATTGCTGGTTCCTGCATGAGGAAATCTGTGTTTTGATTGGTTGCTGTGGGTGTGGAGGGGGAGTTTCCTTTTTCCTGCCTTTTTCTTTTGTATGCTCTGTGATTTATCTCATCAAATCAAATCAGTCTTTATTATCAAAGTGAAACATGTGTACAATGAGATTGGCTGATGCTCCTGTTTGCCTGACTATCTAGTTTGCTGAATATATAGATGTAAAATATATTTATTTATACAAAACTGCAAGTTTGCATCAGAGTTTCTGACTCCATTTGGATACTTGCTGCACAATTCCCTAATGGTATCCATCTTGGCATTCCAAGAACTTGATTGTGACATTGCTGATAAAGTAAGTGCTGGTGCATTTACTCAGTATGATACTGTCCAGAGTCTTAATTGATTGGACAGTTTGTAAACATTCTAAAATAAATACAGTTAAAAAAATAAGATGTGGCAATTATGATCTAGTCCAGTGATGGCAAATCTTTTAGAGACTGAGTGCCCAAACTGCAACCCAAAACCCACTTATGCATCGTTGAGTGCCAGGTGGGGGTGGCCCATTGGCTGGGTGTGGCCCATTGGGTGGGCGTGGCTGCAGTGGTAATGGCAGACTGGGTGGGACTAAAAAGTTCAATCAATCAATTCCAACTTTGCAAGATCTTTTTTTTTTGTGAGAAGTTGAAATTGACTGATTGAACCTTTTTTTTTTTTTTTCCACACGGCGGCGGAGGCCTAAAGCGAAAAGGATTTATAAAACCCAGCTGAAGGCCTAGGACTGGGGCGACGGCGTGCGTGCCCACAGAGAGGGCTTTGAGTGCCGCCTCTGGCACCCGTGCCATAGGTTCGCCACCACTGATCTAGTCATTTTAAGGTCTCTTCCAAACAAATTGATAGAAAAACTAATCTCATTGAAAAAAATAATTCCAATCTCATTGAAAAAAATAATTCCAAGTCCTATCAGTGGGTTTTCTTCCTGGTAAAACATATAGTTCATTAAGATTGTAGTTACAGTCTGCCTTTTGTGGTTAGTCTGTTGCTTTGTCCTGGATGTTCAAAAAAGATGATAAAATGCTGATATGCAGAAATCCTTGCTTAAGTTCATTAATTCAGCAACCATACAAAAGTTGTAACAGCACTGAAAAATTACTTATGACCAGTCCTCAAAATTACAACTGTTGCAACACCCATAGTCACATGATGAAAATTTGGCTGTCTGCATTTACAACTGCCATCCTGCTGCCACTCACCAGCCATTGCCCCCAGTTGACCTTTCTTTTTGTCTTTGGCTGGGACTTATTCCGAGGGGTACTATTGTAGAGGATGGTCAAAAGTGCAAAGGTGGAGGAGAAGATAGTGGCAGGAGTTTGTTGGTCAGGTTAACATAAATCTTGATGAAAGTTCCTATGTTGAAATTGTGTGGATTGTGAGACAGATGCCTATGTGTGCAAATGCATGTCACAAATAGCTGAGACAGCAACAAGTCTTTAAAAAGAATTTGCTCTGTAGAATACCAGGCCACTCTGGAAAACACATTAGTTTCTTTAAATAAACATGACTTAAATTGCTTGTGTTCACTAATAAGAGGAAGTGATAAAGATATTTTAGTAATTTCTGTGTTCCACAGACAATATGTGTTTCCTTTCTAATTAGCTTATGTTTCCTTACTTATATTACCAAATAAAGTATAAATGCTTGCTGAAATATTGTCCATGGTCCTTTCTAAGCCTTATGGGAGGACCCATCTTTCTTTGAATTCTAATAAATGTGTCACTTAGAGAGAATTGGGGTCTCTTTGTCCATACCAGACTGAACCTAGAGAGTGTGCATAACAAGTTGAAGATGAGGCAGAGTCCTTTTGTTGGAAGAATCAAGGCTCAGGGCTGTGGGAAGTCAGCCCCCCCCCCAGAGAAGGAAATATTAAAAGGGCAGAATATTATATTTCCTCAAAAGATCTTAAAGAGGCAGAAAAGCATGCCCAGTTTTTCTTAATAGCCCCAAGTCTCCCTCCCCCCAAGCAGAAACCAGCTCTGTAGAAATGCAGATATGATAATCCATTCAGGAAAGTTGGAGCCCTCCAGCTAGAAGCTTAGGAAGACAAAGACACCTAAAATCTACATACCCTATCTAAACTCTAAGACAGGACATAATAGGATTAACCCACAGATGCCAAAGGGGCACACTCAGACTCAGGTCAAAGTACATGACATAGAAAATACAAAGCCTCATACAGGAACAGGCAAAAACCTCAAGAGCCCCAGAGGGTATAAAAACCCATTCCCTACATGTGCTCTCTCTTTTTTTCTTCCAGAGCCATCTTTCTGCCTGGCTCTCCTCTTCAATAAACTGCAACCTCTTTCTAAAGCAGTTGCCATGTTGTTTATTCCCAGCTTGAACTGGACCCCGATGAAGACTTTTCCTTCAATTGGACAGGGCAAACAAATTGCATAAACAAAAACATAATGTGAAATTGTAAGCTATGAATATTTATCTTGCAAAACAAGCCTTCAATGCATTTGCTAATCATTTACATTATAATATTTTACTTTTCATCGATTTAGGTAGTACAGGTTAATGTTGAAAACAACCAGTTATCAGAATCTTTGCAACTGAAATTTATAAAGTGGAATATAAGGATGACTTCACACAAAATTGAGGAATGGTTGCCTATTTAAGGTACCATTGGTTACTTGCTGCTAATTCAATTTCTAATTCCAGGTTTCTGAATATATATATATATACATATATATATAAAATATTTGCACTTCTCTGCAAATAATTATAAAAATCTGTATTTGGCAACCCCCAGTCAAAACAGATTACACATCTGGAAAACATTTGGATTTTTCAGGGTGCTAACAATGGGTCCAGCTTAATAGCCCAAAATGTATATGTGGTAGTTATGATGGCTTTGCATTTTTATTTTTTTCTGTTTTTACCATGTTTTTCTGTTTGATGCTTTAAGCTATCATGAGTACTGTCTAAGTGTGGTGGTATTTGAGCACAAAATAGTGAACACATTAAATATGTGGGTATGTGTGTATAATGAGCTCAAGCTATTGCACAATGATAAATAACAATAATTTGACTATAATTCCTGTGTGAAGTTTCTTATGTGATTTCAGCCTTGGCAGAGGCTCCAAACTCTTGACATCTGTGTACACCAATTCTGTCTCAGCCCTCAAACTTTCATTGCCTATCTGACTGAACTAGCACTTACCTCTCTGCAATAAGCCTTTCTCAAGAGGCACAAATTTAATTTTGAATTGACTGTTTTGGTATAAAATTTAATTTTAAAAAGCCTTTTAAAGTGGAGAAGATGGCAAGGCATACATAAACTTTATTTGCCAAAAAAATATGATCCCTACTCTTAAAGACAGTATGTGGGGAGATGGATGATTGTTTAATTTTGGGGTCCTCCATTTTTAAAATATTTATTGGTCCACGATTGCAGAATATTTGAGAAACACTGCTGTAGAAAGAGACTTGCATAGTGACATTAGCTATAAATTCCTATGCATTTCTGTTTAGAAGACTTCTAAACAAAATGTATCTAAATGTAATGCTTATACACTGTATTATTTTTAATTCCTCACAGGACTTGAAATATGGACAGGCACTTTTTCCCACCAAGGCAGAGGTTCCGTGGAAGAGGTCATAATCAGTGGTTTCATCAGAATGTAAGTTTTTTCTGTTTAATTCTTCCTGTCGTGATTCTGTGCCAGCCTGTGTTCCCAACAGCTGAGTCTGGGGAATCTGAGGAGGAGGTGAAGGAGGCATTAGAAGGGCTATCAGGGTCAGATAGAGGCTCTGATGAATTACAAGATTCACAGTTTGATGAAGAGCCTTGGCCTTCCAGTTGTGTTCCTGATGAAGCTCAGCTGTGTGGGAAGAATGAGTCAGACTTGGAGGATTCACACCTGATGGACATGATTATTGATGCTCGTAGACACAGGCAATTAGCAAGAGCAGATCAGCAGCAGTCAATACGACAACTCCAAGGGGGGAGGAGAAGGCACTGAGAGGCAACGCCTTGGGATTGCTTTATAAAAAGGGAAGGTGTGGGCGGTGCTGGTTGCTGAAGGCAACCATTGCAAAGTATTTCATGGGATCATGTTCTGTTAGTCTTGCCGGTGACTACTTCTCTGCTTTGTATGGTTTTGTGTGGACAAGTTCCTCCATTTGGATTGTGTTTGGTGCTTTTGTTTCTGGATTATTTGGCAGGTTGGTTACCCATATTAAAAGGGGTTTGTTTTCTTTTGAGTCTCCAGCCTATTTTCTCAAAAGGGGTTTTGTCCTTGTGCCTTTAAGAAGGACAGCCATAGGCTGGGATAGAACACTTCCCAACTTTCAACTCTAGTTTCTTATTTCAGACATCAGAGAAATACACACAGACACACACGCATGCACACGCACATGGATATACATAAACCCACAAAATTAATTCTTGGAGAATAAAGGTTATTTTTCTTCAGAAAACAATCTGGTTCAAAAATTGTGTTTTATAAAAAAAATTATGAAAAATGAAAAGAATGCTATCTAAATCCTCAATACCATGGCTGAAAATTTGAGGAAATTAATGTGATACTGGAAGAATTTTTTAAAAAGTGCTCATTACCTCTTACTATTGATTGGAATGGTAATGGCCTTATACTCAGACAAGGATGACTACATTGCCAGATAATTTAAATAGTCAAGCAGCATACTGAATCTAAACAACAGAATCCATACACTTTCTTTTCGTAAAGTCCTTTTCATTTTCACTGGTAGGTGTACATATACTCCCGCTATACTTGACATTAAAATTTGAAAATTTCTTCCACTGGTAAACAAAAACACTTAAAAATAAAAGGCTGCCCACTACCTCTTGCTAGTAGAGTCAGAAGAGGAAGCACATGTGAGAACAAAGCCAGTAGTAAAAAGGGGATATTTTCTTGCATGTGTAAATGAACTATAGTCAAGAGAGGAATGGATGAGTGCATAAGAGAAGAAAATACCAGAAGAGGAAAATAGGTGTGGGATAGGGAGATCAAAGGCAAAGAGGGGAAAGAGTATATGCAGATTATCCTCTACTTCAGGGGTTCTCAACCTTGGCAACTTTAAGACTTGTGGACTTCAACTCCCAGAATTCCTCAGCCAGCTTTGCTGGCTGAGGAATTCTGGGAGTTGAAGTCCACAAGCCTTAAAATTGCCAAGGTTGAGGATCCCTATGAGGGAAAGCACTCAGAATCTAAACTCAGATGTAATATGGAAACTTTATATTTCTGATATGTTATAATTTACTTTATTTGTTTCAATTTACTTTTATATTAATTTACTGCAGGTGTATCTGTTTTTGTAGAATGCACCAGCACGATCAGTACTTCCAAACCATTAATTTCTGCAGTTCTGGCTTATTGTTATATATAAGTCTTCTGGATGACTTTGGGCCAGTCACTCTCTAAGCCCAACCTACTTCATAGGTTGTATAATAGAGAAATTATGAAGTGGCAACATTATGTATAATGTATCCTCTTGAGTTATACAAAATAATGGTGATGTATAAATCTGTATTAATACTGCTATTTTGTGATAACAGTTCATTTTTTATTTAATGTTTTGGAGTGCTGCTGGCTCCTTTTAAAAACACTGTGGGAGGAGGCAGCAACATAAGATAAACAGGTTTGACTTCTATCCCTTGTCAAGGTTGCTTTAGATTTAGATGAAATATTTGAGTATACCACCACCCTGTACCAGGCTTTGCTGTTGATAAAAACTATAGCCACAACAGCTCCACTGCTGTTTTCTCTCTGCTTAGCAAAGAGAACATTATTTCTGGAATTCAATTTACTTTTATATTAATATGAAGACTGTTGTATAGCTATACATTCCTCTCTTTTATGTTTTCTTTCTCCTGTTAATGTCCTATGTTTCTGAGACAGTGAGAGTAGAGAATATGCTTCTTGTTATGACACATAGGCTTCGGATATTAAATGGAATTTCAGTTATGTTCTTACATATGCATAGCAAGGGAATCTTCTGGCAATTTTTCCCAGTAAATGACACATAACTACAATGTCTTCTGAACAGTGGATCAATTTATTTCAGATTCATATAGATTCATCAGATCTATATGATTAAAGTTCTGGGGAAATTTAAGAAATGCAAAATAGGTTTTCACAGATATTTAGTTTAATTGCTTAAACTATGGTCTCTTTGGTTATAGTGACTAGATACTTGATTGGAGGCATAGGATTAAGGATATTTTTACTTGTCCTGTGCTGTGATAAGTGGAGAGGAAAGTCATTCTCTATATCAGTTTTGAATTACCTTGGTTTCAGGCAGGTTTTCCGTGGTTTTACAAAAATGCAGAGTCTGACCAAACAATGTTTATGTCTTGAACAGAAATCAATTTTCAGTAACATAGTCCAGTGATTGTTTATTACATGAATGTTTATTACATGACTAATGGTCAGGTGAATGAAAAAGTGTCAGAAATATCAGAATGATTCCATTCCAAGACAGTAACTTATATCATTGGCATGAAGTGGCTGATAAGATATGAGAAATGAGACCCAGTGATCAAAAAACAAACCCCCTTTCTCATAGAACATGGGTGTCAAACTGCCATGTCACGTGACATTCGCAACGGTATCGCGACTGTATTTGCATTGCCGGCAATGGGGTGAGTATGGCTTCGGTATGATGAAATTGGCCTGCGGGCAGGCAGTTTGACACCCCTGTCATAGATGATGACATAATGGCATATTGTTATTGGAAGGCAGCATTCTGGAGAACTAAAGAAAATTGCCTGTCTCAGTGTCTCCTTCCCCAGTACAGTACAGTAATGACGAATGTACTGTTGGAAAAAATAAAAGACCAAGTTAGGGGCAGATTATGATGGAGAAAATCTGTGTGGTCACTAAGAATCATTGCAAAATTGATGGTGTGATCTTTAAGTCAGTTATGAGCATCCAGAGGTTAACAAAACTTTAATGGAACAAAGCATTCTTTACTCTCATTTTCACTTGTGCTCAGGCATTCCGATTCTTACAACTAGAGTTGGCCATGTGTATCTAGCTAAGAGCATGGAAGTCCTCTATCCAGTGGAATCTCCACTGGAATGTTTCGTTTACATCTCTTTTAATTTGCCAGTTGTTTGGTTAAATTGCCTTATACAACATTAATTTAAAAGCTGTCACTTTAAATGTTTGTCTTTCCCGTCAACATCCTCATTTTACATGATCTGTTTTTCTAACTCCTGGAGTTAGTTTTTCTATTCAGGGGAATTTGATATGTTAGTGATAAGATGTGAAAATATTGTTTCTTGACCTTTTTCGTTGATGTTAGTTTTGTTTTCTACCCTTATTTTCTTACATTATATATCCTAAAAAGTTAATCTTTTCAAAGTCATTCAGTATGACTGTGCATTAGGGAGTATTATGAGTAATTTTAATACAGTTATACAGTGCTAACATTGATGTTGGTGTCGTGCTTAAATTGCTAATGGCACTGTATCTTGTTGAAAGTTAACTAAAACTATAAATCATTCATTAAATTATGAAAACATATCCAGACAAACAACATTATTCTCATACTTTACTATATTCATATCATAATAGTTTATTTCAGCTCAATAAGCACTTTTACCTGTTTGAAAGATTTCTTGATTAGTCACAATTGTAAATAATATTTATTTTTTGATTACCCAGAATATACCAAATGAAAACTTTTGGATGGATACTTGGGACATGCCACAGGATCAATTTCCAGGGAGACCCCCTCCATGGTGGAACCAACACTGTCCAGAGCAAGAGAGGTATGTTACTTCCTCAGCTTACATTATTTAGTCACATCTTTTATTTTCTTGGTAGTTTCAGTTATTGTTGTTTTTAAAAACATGAAGCTACTTTAAAATTCCTAAAATAGCAGAATAAAAAGCAATTAAAGCATAAATAAATAAATAAATAAAAGGCCCATGACACTTTATTTAAGAAGCATGGGCAAATAACTTTTCACTAGGGACTTAAAATTCATTAGTGTGGACATTATACATACCTGGGAAGAACATTTCAGAACTGGTGTGCCCCCACTGGAGAATCCCAGTCATTGGGCGCTAAGCCATGTAGGCCTGAATATATTAAAACTAATATTTCAAATTAGGACTGGAAATGCTTGGAAAACCAGAAAATATTTTGCAAAATATTTTTCAGAGAATATACGCCCCATGTGTTTCTGAAGTACCTGTTAAGGACAACGTACAGTGCATTGCATTTTATTACTTGAGATAGATGTAGCATTTATCAAACAGAATGCCCTTGGTCAAAGTTGAATTTATCTCCAGCCAGATGCTGAAAATAATTTTTTTTATTCAGATGAGAAAAATTGCATAAGCCACAATAATAGTAGAAGATAGTAATAGTAATAAATAATAGTAGTAGTAGTAGTAGTAGTTGGAAGGGACCTAGTTGGAGGTCATCTAGTCCAACCCCCTGCTTAGGCAGGAGACCTTATACCATTTCAGACAAATGGCTCTCTATATGGTAGAGAATGTGTTTCATAAACTATGATAACTTCAGTTAATTACATGGGAAGGCAGTAGAGTCTATATCAGTGATTCTCAACCTTTCTAATGCCGTGACCCCATAATACAGTTCCCCATATTGTGGTGACCCCCAAGTGGGTGTGGCCACCAATAAGAGGGAGTAGGACAGCTAGGGAAAAGGGAAAAAAATGGCGGACAGCATGGTTTGGCGACCCCCGTGAAATGGTCATTTGACCCCAAATGGGGTCCCGACCCACAGGTTGAGAACCACTGGTCTATATGGATATGACTATACTGCATTTACGATATCAGGGTAAGTGACAGAAGGAGATCAAGATGTAAACAACATCTGATGAAGCAGTGGAACAACCTGTTTCCTGGAGTCATTAGTGCTGCTTCATCACTGGAGGTTTTCAAATAAAGGTTGGATGGCCATTTTGCTGGCATGGCCCAAGAATTCTGCCTTGGGTATAGGATTGGATTAGAAGATCTCCAAGGTAACTCCCATCCCTAGGATTTTAGGATGTATAGGATATGTGTAATGGGCATAAAGTGATGGAAGACTAAGATATAGACAACTTCTGGTGAAGTCACAAAGACATCAGCATGGGTCAGCAGGAAGCTGTTTAGACTAGCGAAGCACCTGGTAACCTCCCCTCCCTCCCTGCTATGTGTCAACCGAAAATGAATAGGGGAAAATGGCTGCAGCCACACTCATTTTCAAAGCTGACATTAAGCTTATTGCATATCTTTTATCTTATAGCCATATTCATATCCTGGATGCATTAATTTGGCTCCAGCTTGAGAATCTGGTAAATGGTGAATTCTCTATTCACGTTATGCTTCCTGCTTGACCCAGTGATGAAGCAGCACTAATGACTCCAGGAAACAGATTGTTCCACTGCTTCATCAGATGTTGTTTACATCTTAGTCTCCTTCTATCACTTACCCTTGAAGGAAATAAAAGTTATTCTTTTATAAAATGTAACAATAAAGTTCTAATGAAACAATGTATGAGACTGTATGTTTAGCACAAATGTATTAATGTAATATAAATGTAACAATGCAATGACAATGTATGAGAAGGAATGTTTACTGTTTCCTGTCCATGTGAAGTGACCACAAAAAGTAATTAGCAAAGATAATTAATTATGATCAACTTGAGTGGAAATTACAAATAAACAAAGATAAGATCACAGTGGAAATTACAAATAAACAAAGATAAGACCACAGTGGATGGAAGGAAATTGCCAGGATGACCTTTAAATGTAAAGCAACTTCAAAGAATATAGAGAAGGGAAGTTGGGAGGGTTTCTTAGGCATGACTGCATTGTAAAAGGTATAAAAAGTATAGCTTGGAAACTGCTTTTTGCGCTCTTGGAACTCAATCCATCTTGGAAAGAGTTCAGGAGGCCGGTTTGCAAAAGCTTTTCTTTTTTTTCCTATTATTATTTTTATGTTTTTCTCCAATAAAACTTTGTTTTTGTTAACCAGACTTGTCTTTGTATTGTGAGTATCAAAATTTGGGGTTTTTACATCTCACACTCTGATATCGTAAATGCAGTATAGTCATATCCATATAGACTCCACTGCCTTCCCATGTAATTAACTGAAGTTATCATAATTCATGAAACACATTCTCTACCATATAGAGAGAATAACATCGATCTGGTATAAGTACCATTATGTGTCAAGTAGAAAGGCATCATTTAGTGAGTCTCCTAGGAAAAGACATTTAGTCAAGATTTCTGAACTTCTAGTTTTTACTTAGTAGCGTACAAAATTGGGAATAGCAATAAAGGTTTGGGCACAAATTATGACAATAGTAAAAGAGATTGTAAGGATTTTTAATAATTAATATGAGAGGAACTGTGAGCCAAATCATCTACACTGAGCAGATCCTATAGTTCACAGGCTTCATAAACAAGGAGACTCCCCTCCCCCAAAATGAGTCCCCTACAGGCTCACAACCAAAGCACCTTCTTGCAGAATAGCACAAAGTTACCATGAGGCAGGCAGCATCTTTGATAAAGCCTCGCATCACATCAGCTGGGCACTTCTGTAAAAAAACAGAAAGATAAGTTGCTGCTGGGCCCTGGAGCTGGCTGAGTAGTACGCTGAGTCCTGCAAGTCCCTGGGGTGGCTGGGTGGAAAGTAGGCTGAGGCCTGTGAGCTGCAACTGCCCTCTGTGTTTCAGTAAAGTCTGCTGCCTGGCTTTAGACTCCCTTGGGGGCTGAATGTCCGGCTTGGGAGCAGACTGAAGCCTGTGGAGATCCTGATGGATAGAGAAAGGATGGGAGGTTTGCCAAGGCCTATAAGTCACAACTGTCCTTCGTGTGCTGGTAGCATCTGCTGCCCAGCTTTGGTCTCCCTTGGGTGGCTTTATTGGCAACAGGCCAAGGCCTGCAGGAATCCGGTGGGATGGGTGGGCGAGATAGATGGGAGGACCCTGCAGTGTCCCTGAGGTCAGCCATAAGGGTGAACAACTGCAGAAGAATTGGCAGTTGTCATAACTTTGAAATTGGTTTATCTGTTTGTCATAACTTCAAACCATTGCTGAGCGACTGGTTGTACGTCAAGGACTATCTTTATTTTCAATAGAAACGAAGGCAGGTACTATAGAATGAAGCCTATGTTTGTTTGTACTTCTGCAGGCCCTACAACATCGGTTTTGATAATTACATCCGAGGTTCCTACCAGAGGCGTCCTTACCGTGGTCCTTATAAAAGATCTAAAAAGATCTTCTCAAGAGGTTTGTGGGAGTAAATTATGCATTTCAAGCAAAAGAGAATGAAAGAGGAGGAAGCCTCCAAATGGTACAGAATAAGTGTAACATGTAACAAAATGTATAATTTTATTTGGATTTTTGGATTTCAATTTAATAACCTTTCATTTAAAAAGTTTGTTAGTCCCATTGTAAAGAATGTAATTTTCTTTCTTTTTTTTTTTTAAACTTTGGAATAAATGAAGTTTATTGCATTGCCAATACATACGGCCAAAACGGATAATACACTCCACTTGGTCACCACGGTTGACAAGACATACACTACTGCATATATTTAAAAAGTGACATACCCTCTTCTTCTTCCAAATTCAATGGCTGGTGTGTGTTTTTTTCAGTCTGAGCAAAGCAGTCTTCCCTTGGGGCGAGATGGGCTTCTCTTACAGTTCTCTTACAGGCTCTCCTTTTAATTTAAAAGAATTGTGCTTTCCTACAGTTCTTCCTTCGCCTCTGAGTGCATTAGTAGTTACAGGCGCACTGTGTTTTAATGATGTTCCTTTCCCCTTGTCTTTCCCCTTTTTGGAAATCCTGTCTTTCAGAATCACCCTCTGTCTGTCAAGGCTGGAGATGGGGCCCCCGAGGTCTAAGGGGTCTTGCTCACCATTTAGTCTTTGCCACAAGGTTATTAAGATTCAGTCCATATTTTGCAACGACTGGACACAGGACCTCTGTGACCAGCTTGGTAGGTTTAGTCTTTAAACCAACTGATCTATTTATAGGGATGAAGTCAAGCCTAAATAAAGTCCTCCTTTCTAAGCAAAGAATGTAATTTTCTCATTAACTGATTCCAAACCAACTTAGTTAGGATGATTCATTTGCCTGACTGAAACTTTGAAATATAAACTATGACACTAAATCCCAGATAAAGGAATCACATTTTAGCTAGCATATTATGTGTATAGAGATATCTGTATGATTATTATGATTCAGTGTGTTGTGCAGACCCAGAAAATTGAGTTAACTAAGTCATCCATGGCTTATTTAACAATGGATAAGAATGTTTTATAATTTGTTTTATAATAATAAAGTTGGAAAGGACCTTGGAGGTCATCTAGTCCAACCCCCTGCTCAGGCAGGAAACCCTATACCATTTCGGATAAATGACTGTCCAGTTTCTTCTTAAAAACTTCCAGTGTTGGCGCATTCACCGCTTCTGGAGGCAGGTTGTTTCACTGGTTAATTGTTCTAACTGTCAGGAAGTTTCTCCTTAGTTCTAGGTTGCTTCTCTCTTTGGTTAGTTTCCACCCTAAGTTTCCACCCGTTGCTCCTTGTCCTGCCTTCAGGCCCTTTGGAGAATAGCTTGACTCCCTCTTCTTTGTGGCAGCCCCTGGAACCCTGCTATCATGTCCCCCCTCATCCTTCTCTTCGTTAAACTAGACATACCCAATTCCAGCAACCATTCCTTATATGTTTTAGCCTCCAGTCCCCTAATCATCTTTGTTGCTCTTCTCTGTACTCTTTCTAGAGTCTCAACACCTTTTTTACATCGTGGTGACCAAAACTGGATGCAATATTCCAAGTGTGGCCTTACCAAGGCATTGTAAAGTGGTATTAATATGTAATGTAATGAATGTAATGAAAATATGTTTACAGAAAACTACCAAATATGTAGCAGATATTGCCTTAAAATTGGTAGGTGTTATAGCACTTGCTCTAACAGACTGTCCATTGTTACTATTTCTTCCATGATTTCTCAATCCAGGATTCAATTTTTAAAATGTGCCATCAATCTTATGTTCAGGAAAGCAGCATTTACACTTTAAGGGAGCAACCTTCCTTTTTCTGGTTCTAGTATAGTAGCCAAAACAAACAGCAAAATTTAAATCTGTTTCTTTTAACTCTTTGAATGGTTCCTCCCCTCTACTATTTTTAACTTTCAGCACAACAATATACCTATGTGTGACTGAGATCCCAATATTTTTTCACAAGCTCTTAAAAGAATAATAAACACAAAGTTGTTCCAAATGTTTGGTCTCTTACTAGCTTATGGAATTCAGTGGAAACTTCCTAATTTCATTTAACTCTTTCTGCAGGAAGAGGTAATTTTCAAAACCCATCAAGTTCTCCCTGCTTAATCAATGTCACGGTAAGAAATAATTCTTCAAGAATAGTGTGTATTTTTATACCAAATATATTGAGACATATGTACATTCGTGGATATCTGGGGAGGTAAGGAGAACAAATACTGAGATATGCATAATACCACACTTTTGACATGATTCATGTACTTATCTCAAGTCTCTTCATGCAATTATATAATTGCAGTATTTGCACCTCATTTTGACATAGTGCAGTTTGTTATGAACACTGTTGCATGCTAGTTGGAAAATGCAAGCAATCTTTTACTCTTACATGAAAGAAACTACAATACTGGCGTCTCAGTGGGGAATACTCAAGAAGGTACAAATAAAAACAAATGCAGCTTAAAGATACATAAAGTATTATAATGGTAGCTTTTGACATTAAATAATTGTTTAGAGCAGGGGTCCCCAACCCCCGGTCCGTGGACCAGTACTGGGCCACGGCATGCCAGCAACTGGTCCACACAAACAAGCAAAGCCACATCCACGAGATGCAGGCAGCACACAAAACCACGCAATCTCCGGTCCATAGAAAACCCTTTCTCCATGGAACCCCGGTCCCTGGTGCCCAAAATTTAGAGCAGTTACTATTGCTTTCTTAACTATTTCCCTGTTTCTGTGCCCCAGATAATTATGTTTCTTAATGTTTGGAAATTACAAGCAAAGCCAGATAACTATTTCAGTTAATGAAGCTAGACATAAAGGCCTAAGCAAAATAGAGTACAGACTTAAAATCATTTAGTGAAAGTTCAAAATTACAGTGGCACTGAAAAAAGTAACTTAGATCAGTCCTTGTACTTTCTACCATTTCTCACCTGTTTCTCACTCTTACAATTGTTGCAGTGTCCCTGTGGACATATGATCAGAATTCAGACACTTGGCATCTGGCATGTATTTATGATAACTGTGGTCATGTGATCACCTTTTGCAGCCTTCTGATAAGCAAAGTCAATGGGGAAGCCCAATTCACTTAATAATCACGTTACTAACTTAACAATTGCAGTGATTCACTTAACAACTATGGCAAGAAAGGTTGTAAAATAGGGCAAAACTTTTTTAACAACTTCTCTTAGCTATGGAAACTTTGGGCTCAGCTGTGATCATAGGACTTACAACCTTTCATTTAATGGCAGCTTGAAGTTACAATGATACTGAAAAAAGTGACCTATGATCGGTCTTTGTACTTATGACATTGCAGCATCCCCATGGGCAAGGGATCAGAATTTGAGCACTTGGAAACTGGTAAGGATTTATGACAGTTGTATCCTTAGCGGGTCATGTGGTTGCCACTTGGGACCTTCCCAGCTGGCTTCCAACAAGCAAAGTCAATTGGAAAAAACGGATTTGTTTAACGATCATGTAATTCACTGAATTGTAATGCATTTCACAACCAGGCAAAAAAGGACATAAAATCAGGTGGAATTCACCTAACCTCCCAGTTTAGTAATGAAAATTCTGTTCCCAGTTGTGGTCATAAGCCAAAGACTACCTGTACAGTTGTAGTGTTATGAGAAAGTATGGTGTGGAGGCATAGGTGTGATCTACTTTTTCTCTGATACCATATATAAACTCCATATTATCCTATATATCACCCATTACTGTTTGCCTTTGAACTCTGTATTTTTTTTCCCTACTTACTACCAGCTTTACCTTGTACTGACCTTGATACTTACACATACACCTCATGTCCTAAGCCAGTGATAATGAACCTTTTAGAGATTGAGTGCCGAAACTGAAACCCAAAACCCACTTATGCATTGCCGGGTGCCAGGTGGGCGTGTCCCATTGGGTGGGCATGGCTGCGGTGGTAACAGCAGACCGGGTGGGACTAAAAAGTTCAATCAATTCCAACTTTGCAAGATTTTTTTTCCCGCGAGAAGTTGAAATTGATTGATTGAACCTTTTTTTTTTTTTGGGCACACGGCGGCGGAGACCTAAAGCGAAAAGATTTTATAAAACCGAGCTGAAGGCCTAGACTGGGGCAACGGTGCGCATGCCCACACAGAGGGCTCTGAGTGCCGCCTCTGGCACCCGTGCCGTAGGGTCGCCACCACTAAGCCTATGCTGTTTATTTCATCCTTATTGTTACGAACAGATAGATGTATGACTCCAAAAGGAAGGATGAGTTGATAATGTCAAGGAAAAACATCTCTCCTGGAATGTTCTTGGCAGGCTTTCCAGATGCTAAATCAGATTAGTTTCCCTCACTTAAAAAAAAAATATGTAAGCCAAGATAAGTTAGGATGGGATGGGAATTTTATTGCTTCAGTGTTCGAGCTGGGGTCCTTTCTGCAGTCTTTTTCACAGTTCTTGTTAGCAGAAAGGACACATAGATATACATTCTCTTTAATCAACTTTTGTGCACTTTGTTCTTTGACAGAGTGTATATTGTATTGCATCCTAAATAACCTCTGGCCATTAGGTGTCAGAACAATAAAGGCAGAATGTCGGTATATTTTTTTCTCCCAATAAAGTTCCTCTGTTGTTAAAAGGTTCCTAACATGCAACTTCATTTGCTAGAAGATTCACTTATTAAGCACAGAGTAGTCTTGCTGAAAATAATAGTCATGTGAGACTCTTCTGTTGCAGCCAAAGAAAAAATTTGAGAAGGTGAAAAAACAGCCAAAAGATTCCATGAAATTTAAACAGGACAAAGGAAATACTGCAACTTCAGTGAAAAAAGATGATCCATCCAAGGTAATAATAGAAAAAGATTTAGAATATTTGTATAATAAGATGATGAGTTTCCAAATCATAAAAGGATGTTTGCAATACTAACTTCTATACCTTGTCCTAAACCAGTGTTTCTCAACCTTGACAATTTTAAGGCATGTGGATTTCAACTCCCAGAATTCCACTGGAATTCTGGGAGTTGAAGTCCACATGCCTTAAAATTGTCAAGGTTGAGAAACACTGTCCTAAACAGTGTTTCAGGAGGAGGAGGGAAAGGGGGAGGAGATTCAGTTCAAACTATAGTTCATATTCAAGATACGTAAAATTGATGAGCTATTTTTTGAGCACTTTTAGCATATTAGGGACTGGTAGATAATGTAATTTCCAAAGATTATTTCTCAAAAATCGGTCATAGATCTTGAAGTTTTATGCATCGGTGATATCAGCTTTAATTTATTTGAGAGAGGAGACTTCCCAGTAAAAAAAACCAGCATTTTGTTCTGGGGGTGGGGCGGGAAATAGGTTTGCTTTTAAAATCTTTCTGTGTTCTAAATAAATGCTGCAGGTCAAACCAAATGATAGTCAGCCTGCTGAAGCGTCTCCTAGCCAGACTGCTTCTGCTGCATCTCCGGGGGCTACTGCAGAAGAAAAATCACCATCTGGAATTACAAAAGTCCCTCCTCACACCCAGAGTGAAGATATTGTATTGGTATGAACCATTTCTTCTTTTTATATGCTCTTTTGATAAGGTTCCCTGTGATAACACTGTTATTATGTCTCATTATTTCTGGTTGCAGGTTTCTTTGCTTTTGTGCTACGAGTATCTGTATTTTGCTTTATTTTCTCAGTGTTTCCAACAACGTTATCTAACTTCTTGCAGATATGTAGTAGAATAAACAGAACTTTCTGTGATTCCCAAAACCTATTTAGTTTTTAGCAGCTTCTACTGTGGTTTTCATTTTCTTTAGAAGATTTCTGATCTGCAGCTGTAGTTAAGCATAAACTGTGTCTAGAATTTAAACAATTTTCATTCATATTGCATTAATCTTTGTTTAATTTGTATTAAGTAAAATACATGCACCTTCCAAAGATAGAAAAATGCCTGATATATAGGATTTAAATAATACAAAATGTAAATTATGTTATTATTATCTAATGATACTTAAGATTCATGGCCGTTTATTTTCTGCCATGATTAACACAAACAATATTGGGGGAATCTGTGTAACAACTTCAAGAAACTTATACTAAGATAGGTCATAAGTTTTATAATTAAATGAAGAAAAGGAATACATAATCAATTTTCTCAATTTATGAGGCTCCCTAAATTTAAAAGCATATCAAGTTTATCTTGGACCTTATGGATCAATTCTTGCTAATGGTAGCTTTAGATTAACAATAAAATGAAAATGCAGCAATTGTTTTATTTGAATTCAGAATAAGTTACTAAATGATGATGATGAGGAATCGGTAGGGTTTAAAGAAAATAGTTGGCCTGTTTTTTAAAAAAAAATCATAATAAAGGTAACATACTGAAAATAATGAACTACAAGAATTTTAGATACTACTGAAATATTGTAGTCATTTCAATGTATACGTTCAACATTCCTATAAATGTTTAGTGTTAAACACTTTAGTATTCCCCCAGTGAGTGTCTCCTACTCCAGCCCTGAATAGCCTCTTCTATCCTCTTACCTATTGTGAACACTTTTCAGATTGAAATAGCCTAACAGGAAGTGAAACTCCCCCCAGGCAGCAGCAAGAACAAAAGCTGAGTTTCACCCACACACAAAAGAGGAAGAGGAGCTGATTTGGAGAGAGAAAGAAGGAAAGATAGGTTGGCTTGGGAAGGGAATGAAAAAGGGGCAAGAAGAGAAGAGTTTAGGCGGCTGATAGACCCACTTAAAGAGATACAGTGTGGAGAGTGGAGGTGGTCCCAAAGACATAAAAATTCCCAAGTTGTCCGAGGAAGAAGACATAGAAGCCTATTTTATCATATTCAAAGAGTGGTTACCTTTTTTAAATGGCCTGAGAGTGAATGGGTGGTCAGACTAGCCTAGGGGTGTCAAGCCCGATTGCATTGTAGGAGATATCGTGACATATTGGGATTTGTTTTGCCTTTGTGGCACAGGGTTGGCCGTGGCTTGCGCAAGCCGGATGCGGCCCATAGGCCGCATATTTAACATACCTGGACTACCCCATGTTTGTAGCATCCTGCAATCACATGACCACAATTTATGATGGACATTCTGGGCTTTATTACAATTGTAAGTTGAGGATTACCTATAAATGCAGATTGATATGGATGTATAATTCTGCCTATAATTAATCATAGATATTTGGCTAATAATTTTGAATAGTTCGTATTATTTGTATTTAATAATGAGATAGACAATATAAACTGAGGCTAAGCCACAACCTTCTTCTGCTGAACTGGACTTGCCAATTTCTGCTCTCATCATAGCTTTGGTCCCATCACAAATCTTTGTTTTTCATTGCCATTTAAAAATTCTCATTGCATATACAGAGCTGGATGTATAATGTCTTGTATATAGAGTATTCTGGATTCTTTAGGCATAAGAGCTGCTGTACAAAATAGAATTGCTTATTGAGGTATTTTGGAACATGTCATGGGAATGAGGTACTTCCTAATAGAGAAGTCATGTTCCTCTCCTCCTATGTTCAACAGTCTTAGTTTCTTGGAGAAAAGTATTTTCCTTTATGATTTATACATGCATAATGCTTGGATAGGGAGGCATTCCGCTCAATCATTCATGTTCTGGTCATGTCTTTTGGATTATTACAAAACACTGTGGCTACCCTTGACAAGTAGCCAGAAGCTCATAGAACAGCACGGGTAGACTGTTGTTTCTCTGTGTCATATAATATATGTAGGTACATGCATAATTTTGTATTTATTTATTTTTGTCATATTTATGTAGTGTATACTGGAGGTGGTGACCCTTTTAGAGTTGAATGCAACAAAATTTCATTTTGTTAGTGTACATTAGTGTACACTAGTGTACATTAGTGTATATTTAAAGTGACAATAAAGTTTATTATTCTTATTCTTATAGTAACATCTGTGCTCTGCAAGTTGCATTGGGTGCTAGTCTGCTTCTGGGTCCAATTCAGAGTGTTGTGACTGTTAAAAGCCTGCATGGCATAAGACTAAGTTATCAAGAAAAGGTCCCATTACACTTTCCCATCCCACCTGATCAGGCAGGAGTAGTATGTTGCACACCCCATCAGTTAAAGAACTCTCAGTGGGGGGGTATAGGAAGAGACTTTCTGTACCATTGCCGCCACCCTGTGGAATATTCTTTTCCCCAGAGGTGAAAGGAGTTAAAACAAAGCTGTGTGGCCTCATGTGAGGAGTCCAGAGGAATATGCAGCCAAGAAATTAGACTTTCTTTAGCCTTTTAACTAATTTTAATAGTGTTTAATCATTCTTGTTTCTTTCTAAATTTTTAAGTTTTACATATAATGTTTTGTATTTTAATATTTTATTGTATACTTTGAGGAATAAAATTCAATTTTAAAGTTGTTGGAAAGCAAAACAAAGTTTTAGTAAAAGCATTTGCACAGGCTAGTGCATGACATCTGAATCATTTCAGCATAAACTTTTATACCCTGTCCCGTAGAATTACGTCACATTCTTCCTTTCCCGACCCAGTTGATAGGTCTGGATTAGTCAGTGCTTTCTGACCGGTCACAACCAGATCCCCCAATTATATGATTAAAAGCCCCTTTGGTCCTGTCTTATCTCCCCTTTCTTGTCTGTGACATGATTCATGACATCCTGCTAACTCAGAATGTGCTTATCTATAAGATGATCCTGTCTACCTAAACTGGATAATTGCAACAATTACAAATTATTTATGTTTCCTGTTAGAGTGCATGTTTTTCATCCAGAAGCTATGCATGTAACAGAGTTCATATTTTGGTTAAACATGGCTCTTTGGTTCATATAATAGTTATACTTTAAAATACTAACTTTAGTATAAATTGGATAATATGTCATTCATAAACTATATGCTATTCTACAGTAGTGTGCACTATTCTAAAAGTATGCTCTGAGTCAGTGTATATAGTCCCTCTCTGTTCCTCCAGCTTACTACATCTCCTTTTCTAAAAGTACCTTAGCTAAGTGCTTCTACATGCCTATTCCTTAAGCAGAAATGGAAAATTACAACATGTACATTTATTGTGTATCTCACATATACTGCTCAGAATCCCTCTGAGCATTTCAAAAATGTAAAAACCAAAACAATAATGTATTGGAATTAAAACTGATCTCAAACTTCAAATGTGCTTAGTGAGAAGCAAAATAAATCAATACCGTAACTTCTTTTGGAAATCTCAAACATAGCTTGCCTCTGTTGTTCTTTGCTGCCCATTCTGTGCCATCCTCCAAACAATGCCTTTTTCCCCAAAAGGCTGTTGCTGTTATGCAAGTCCTGTTGAAAATTAAGACGCTATCACACTTATGTCACCAGATGTTTCTGTTTCATTGTTTTAAAGCCCATAGGCACCTCAATTAAAAGTTTTTCCATCTCTTTCTTAAGATATACTTGTAAGCTGAAGCAATACTCTTGATTTTATTTCTTCTGATTTTGTTTTGATGTCTTTTCTTAAATCTCTGCAGAATTTCTCTCTTCTCACAGCTTTTGTTGCCCACTCTATCTTCTTCCTAGCTTCAAATCAGTTTTTCTTGAGAATGAACATTCCACTCAGATATGTTTTAATTTGAAAGTAAAGTTGATTTACCAAAGAAGTGAGCAAGTAATGGTGATGATAGTGAGACAAAAGTATTTTGCTTTTCTATTCTGTTATATAGTGGTGGGATTCAGCCAGTTCGCACCTGTTTGGCAGAACCAATACTTAATTTTTTGTTGAGTTTGGAGAACCAGTTATAATAAATCTGAATCTTCACTCCTAGTCTTCTCATCTCCAGTTTTTCCAAGTTTTTTTCAATCCGAAAATATTATGAGAGCATAATATACCAAACTGAGCTGTATATTTCTTTTACTAGGGAGATGCTATTATGCTGTACTCTAGATTATGAACATCTCATTCAGGAAAATATTCTTTATTAAGTTATGATTTTTAACTAATGAGGATATATAATGAGCCTATCTTCTTCCTTACTTCTGTCTCATTAATCCTTTGGGGAAGGGAAGCTAACATAGTGATCACGAAGTAAGAGAATGCTGGCAGATGGGAATTCCACAGGCTGCTCTAATCTGTGTTTACTCTAATGTTAATAGCAACATTAGGAAGGAGGGAGGAGACTTGCCAACTGTACTTGTATGCCAACCTCTACCTCACAAATTGTCTCTCCTCCCCTCTTTCCCTCCCTCACTCTTATCCTAGAAATAACTTTGAAAGGCAAAAATTCCAAGGAAACTCTTAATGGTAAAATACATATCTACATCCTGATAACTCTCTCTATATATTTAATTCTGAATAATAAACAAATAGTACAAGTTAATATTAAAAACTAAACACAAAAGAAATGCCAAAATACAGTACAAGACACTCACCCACTTGCTCACAGAATTGTAGCAAGGTGGGAGCTGCATACATTTCTGGAGAGGAAACCAAATGTAACTATCAGTTTTCAGCACAACTGTTGTAAATTGTGGTCACATGACTGGGTCACTGCAGATGGCTATAAATGTAGGCCAGTTGCCAAATTCCAAAATGCAGTCATGTAACCGCAGGAGGGGTTGACACCAGAAGTTTGAAACTGGGGGGGTTGTCGTAAACTTCTGAATAAACAACTGGTCATAAATCAGGGACTCCTTTTATTCTGCAAGGTGAGGGCTGCCACAGAGAAGACTCACCCAAACCCTATGAATCTCTTTAAGAGAGACATCTTTCAACAGACTTGCTTCCGATCATGGATAAACAAACTGGATAAACGGGCTGCTTGTATTTTGGCAAAGTATTATATCCTGGTGCTGTGACATTTAGGGCTTTAAAGAAACAACACAAACTTTAGCTCCATATACTGTAGAGTAGAACATTCTGATCCACGTAAGGTCATAATTAGAATGCCAGCTAAAGCTGAACAAAGGTTTCTCTTAACCACAACTTCTAGCTTCTGTTCAAGCAAGAGTTGCACATCCAGGAGGGTCTCCAAGTCTGTAATTAAAGGGTAAAAGGAAAAAGAAGAATTTCCAGATAGTAATGTACCCAGTGGTATAGAAATATTTTTCTTCAAGTCTTCTATGTTAGCATTAAACTGGGTTTTTTCCCTTCTTTTTTTTTAAAAAAAATCTTCAGGATAAACTGAAAAATTGTGACGCCGCCGAAGATCTTCTCAGTCAAACTGTCTCTATTTTGTCTCCTGAAGTATCTACAGAAGATAAAACATCATCTTGTAGCACAGAAGTCCTTCACAACATTGAGGAGAAAGATTCTGTATTGGTACGAATGTTTCCTTTATTTTGCTAAGGAATTGTTTTTCATGACATGTTAGTCTAAATAAGTAACATAATTTTTTTTTGTTGTCAGAGATGTTTTCATTCAGTTACTTATTTGCTAAAAAATCTATGAGTACTTCCATAAGTTTGCACTTTTTGTTTTTCACTGGTTTGTGTTTGTGAGGCTGGTTATTTTGTTTGTTCCCTTGTAAGAGTACAGGTTGCCATGATTTGAAATAATCCCAAAGAGAATGAGTGTGGGTGGGTGGGTAGTCTTAGTACAGATTTCTTTTTTTTAATATTTTATTGGTTTTCCAGTTTTACATTTGAGTATTTGGAAGGCAACGTGGTGATTGGATTAATAGTTCAATAACAAAATCTTTAGTACATATCTCAGGTTACATCATCAAATATTTCTTCTCTGTTTCCCTTAACATTTGCTATATCGTATTTAAGCTAGTAAATTTCTAATTGTATCAAACTCAGTGAAAACTTCATTATCACATTTATCAATATATTTTTGCTTATACATATCTTAATAGATCTTCATAGACAATCCGTATCCTGTTAAGTTTTACCTAATTTTCAATTTTTAATTACAGTATTCCAATTTAACCTTTAATATCCATAGTAATTGAGTTTCAGGTAACCCAAATTTCCTTTGTCTCACTTCTTAGACATTATAATGTCTAAAATGCACATATTACTTATTTAAATATATTCTTATTTTATTTTGTAAACGTTTTCTATTTCACACCCTAATACATCACCACCTTAATAATAGAGTATCCTTTGTTAGCTCAAGTCCATCATCTATAATATCAGCGCTAATCAATAGTTCAAACCTATTTCCTAATAGTTTTCATTTCCCTTGTAAGTCTAAGTCCTCAGTATTAAACAGATTAACCCCTTATTTTTTTAGTATTTTCCAACTATTTTAAATCTAATAATCAAATTTCCCCTTGTCTCAAAATCTCCCTTTAGCTCACTGGATGGCAATTTAGGATCCTCTCTAGTAAATCAAAAGAGCCCAGTTTTTCAACCTAATTCTAGCTTTCTTCTTTTGCCAACCAGGTTTCCATACCAATGCTTTTAAATCATTAAATAGATCTCCCTTCATTCTTGTGTATGTTACTTGAATTAAAGGAGACCATCTAGTTGTCAATTTTCTGGAAGAACTGGCCCATTTATAATCATTAAGTTGTCACCCTGGTGGCCCAGATCCACGTATTTGCTCTGGTATAGTTGTCTTCAATTCGATCCGGTCTTCTTCTTTCTCAGATTTCTTCTGGTTTGTGTAGAAAGTCATTTCCATTTTTAAAGTTGTTGTTTCAATGTCTGGATTTTCGGTGAACTGTATTTGTTGATCTTTAAAGCCCTCTGTCTTGGTATTCACTTCTTCCACTTCCGTTGTTTTTGGGATTGTTGGTTCTTTAATTGCAATCGAGGTTTTACTTTGTACATCTGGGCTGGCACCTTGATCTTTCAGATTAGATCTCATTGTCTTGCTGGCTGTAAGAATAGTTTCAAGTATAGATTTTAGCATAGCCAAGATTTTTTGCTGACCCTTCTCCATTTCTGGCATAGTTGTAGATGGTCTTTCTAGTGAAGGCTGTTTATTAAATAAGAGTCAGTAAATGTTCACCTCCACAGTTCCTAGAGACCAATTTCACTGCCCAGCTGCTCTCTCATTAAATCTCTCAAAGATAATACCAAGGTCAGGTTTTGGGCTGTGAGCAAGTCTCTTTGTAAAAAATAATAAATTGCTGTACCAAGCTTCGCCACAAGATATCCCTGATAGTATTTAAAGCCTTTTTCAAATCCCTGGCTAGGTTCTTATCCAATTTAAATTCTTTTTTGCAAATAGAATAAAATAGCAGGTCCCAGTAAGAGTAGGAACTTTTTGGGTCCCCAAATTCCAAAAAGATGTAAATCCAATTATATTAAGTTCTTTTCAATGCTTTATTTCCCCTGGGTAGTCAGACACCGCCATTTTAGAGAGCGGGAGGAAAAAGTTCCCTTCTCTTTCTTCTCACAGGGGGAAAAAATTTCAAGAAGCTTTTTACAGGAAAGTACTTGGGGTACAGAGAAGGTAAGATCTCACCCAATTCTTCCACGTTGCTTTCAAAATGTTTGTTGGTGAATTTGGCCTCCGCTGCCAGCAGCTTAGTTGATGGCCGAACTTTTCCCCGTCAGTTTGAAGAGCTGCCCTGCTCATCGCCCCTAGAGGGCGACTTCCGGCCCTCTTCAGGGTCCCTGGCGGGAGAAAACCGGATGATGGAGAGAGTGATCATTCCACACATCCGCCAATGCTGCGATCGCAAACTGAAAGCCGTTTTAGTACAGATTTCTAATGAAGAACTAACTTTATTGGACTTTCTAATGAAGAACTAACTTTATTGGACAAGTTTAAACAACACATTACTCTAATCCAGTGGTTCTCAACCTTTTTAATGCCGCAACCCCCCAATCGGTCGTAAGTTGAGGACTACTCAACTGGTGCAGCACCATTTGCAGAATGGGACTTTTGGCGGGCTCAGCAGGGCAGAAACAGCCTGGACAATTCCTATTGGCTTTTGAAAGCCAATAAAATTAGACTCTATTCAAGAGAGCCTAATCTATTGGCTTTCAAAAGCCAATAGAATAAAAGGGAGTAGCACAGCTAAGGAAAAGGAGAAAATAATGGCGGACTGCGTTGTTTGGCAACCCCCGTGAAATGGTCGTTTGACCCCAAATGGCGTCCTGACCCACAGGTTGAGAACCACTGCTCTAATCATATTAAAAAGCATGTTTGCCAGGTCCATTTTAAAGCAGATGTGGTTGAAGCTTTGTGAAGTTTCTGTGGATATTTGAGCTATTTTTTTGTATGGATAGTAAATATCTATTACTTGCATTTATTAATGAATCAGTTATTTAAATTATTTTTCTATCTTTTTTATAATTGCTATTGAGGAATAGTGACAATGCATTATTTACAAACTATTTTTTTTGTTGTTGCGTGTGTCAATAAGGGATTGTTCTTTGTTTCATATTTGATCAATACCTTTCCAATTCTCAAACTTCAATCTTTCTTTTTCCTGCAGCAGCAAGCCAGCCAGTCTGCACTAGATTCTAGCCATGTTTGTTCATCCACAGCTGTAGAAATACCATTCCTGTCAGACAATGTTAATGATGATCAGTCTGAGAGAAGAGAAGAAATTGAGATGGTATTAAATTATTGTTTTCTTCTTGCTGCATAAATATTATGAATAAGAAATTATATTCTGCTGCTGTAGTGTTTCTGCATCACTTGTACCTAGATTTCTAACTGAGAGATATCCCTTGAACTACTTGTATACCAGTGAATGCTGTATTTATCTTCTCAAATGCAGAGAAGAATTTTTTGCACAGATTTGGACAAGAATTGATATAAAATATGTTTAATTTCTCATTCATCTTTGGATACCTGTTGGAAAATTGAACATTATGTCAAATATGTTGGTTTTGAAACTGCAGGTAGTTCTCAACTTACAACTAAAGTTGAGTCCAAAATTTTCATTGCTAAGCAAGACAGCTGTTAAGTGAATTGCGCCCCATTTTCATGGTCTTTTTGCCACAGTTGTTAAACAAATCACTGCAATTGTTAAACAAATCTGGCTTCCCCCATTAACTTTGCTTGTTGAAAGCCAATGGGAAGGTTACAAATGGTGATCACATGACACAGGACAGTGCAATTGTCATAAATTCATGCCAGTTGCAAAGTGTTTGAATTTTGACCACATCACCATAGGGATGCTGCAACGGTCATAAAAGCTGTCCTAAGTCTGTGTCTGTCATAAATTCACATTGTCACTAAACAAATGGTTGTAAATTGAGGCATACCTGTACTTCTTCCATAATCTTATGCTCTCCAATTATGTTTGAATCATTGGCTTAATTTAAGATCATTAACTGTGAATTATGACACGTAAAATGCAACATAAATAGAAGCCTTCAGATTGATGAAGACAACCTAGCAAGAACAGCATCCATTCTGCACTCAAATTGTTGAAATTTTATCTTCATGTCTTCTAACTTGGAGACAGAAAAATAATAGGATATATTAAGATTCACTTAAAATATTAAAGCTCTTGGTACACTCTTATCTCAATTGTACTCATAATCTTTAATGCAGAGATTTCCTTGTCTTTGGTCAAATTGAATAGGATTTACATGGGTTAGATAACATCCAGGCTTATTACTAAATTATTATCTTACCAGTCGTAAAATATATTTTAATTTATGAAATATACCAGTTAAGTACCAGTAAAATATTTTGTATTTTAAAACAGGGGAAAATAGGAGTTGAAGTGCACCTATCTTCAAATTGCCAAGGTTGAGAAATAGTGGTTTAAAATATTTCCTCACTGCTTCTCAAAAGATTGATGGAAATTGCATATTGGAGTTTGATTTTATTGAAAAATATGTTCCCTTGTTAGAATAAGTCATCCACATCTTCCTTAGACAAGAGGCTTATGACTTATCTTGTAAAACTAATATAGAAAAACGATTTATTAGATGCTGAGCATAACTGATTTATTAATAGAACTGGATAAATTAAGTGGTATTTCCACTATTTAAGCCTATTGCCCATTCTCGTTTGATCCATATTTTTTATCATGAAAGCAGCATACTGTTTTGACAAACACTAAAAGGATTTACAGAAGTTATCTGATCAGAGAAGACACTGCAACAATTAGTTTCTAGACGAGCTGATTATTTTATTATGAAAGTCATACCTGTAACACAATTTGTATTTCAGCTGGCATCTGCAGAAAGCTCCCGAACCAGATGCTTCACTTTAGAAATGAATGTAGTTAAGATTGAAAGCATAGACATACAAAGAAATAAATTGATAAAAGGGATGAACAATGATCCTCAAAATGAGCAAACTGATGATCCAGGTCTCTGCAATAACAGATCCATGCATTCTGCTTCCCAAAATATTCTAATTCAATTTTGTTTTAATTGATGTAGACCGAAACCCCAGCCAAACAGAATGATACAGAAGACTCTCAAGTTTGTGTTGCTCCTGCTCTTGATTTTTCCAGCCTTCCAAGTGCCCTCAGTGATATTCCCTGTGTATCTGTGCTAGTGAGAGAAAAAGATACGAGAGTGGTAAGAATGGGAAAGCTCTTTGTATATATTTTCCTTGGAAATATAAGTACATTCATTTTGGAATCTGGAATTTATTTGCGACTACAGGAATTTTGGTTCAATTCCTGTTTTGCCTGAAAATCTGTTTCCCCAAATGTTCTAATTTTGTTTTAAATTGACATAGACTGAAACTTCAGCCAAGCAGAATGATACAGAAGACTCTCAAGTTTGTGAAGTTTGCGTTGCTCCTGCTCTTGATTCTTCCAGCCTTCTAAGTGCTCTCAGTGATATTCCCTGTGTACCTGTGCTAGTGAGAGAAAAAGATATGGGATTGGTAAGAATGGGAAAGCTCTTTGTAATATATTTTCCTTGGAAAGATAAATACGTTCAACTTGGAATCTGGGATTTATTTGTAACTACAGGAATTTTGATTGTTCAATTCCTCTTTTGTCTGAAAATCTGTTTCCCAAAATGTTCAAATCTTGATTTTGTTTTAAATTGACATAGACTGAAACCTCAGCCAAGCAGAATGATACAGAAGACTCTCAAGTTTGTGTTGCTCCAGCTCTTGATTCTTCCAGCCTTTCAAATACCCTCAGTGATATTCCCTGTATATCTGTGCTAGTGAGAGAAAAAGATAATGAATTGGTAAGAATGGGAAAACTCTTTGTATATATTTTTCTTGGAAATATAAGTACGTTCAATTTGGAATCTGGAATTTATTTATGACTACACGAATTTTGGTTGTTCAATTCCTCTTTTGTCTGAAAATTTGTTTCCCAAAATGTTCAAATCTTGATTTTGTTTCAAATTGACATAGACTGAAACTTCAGCCAAGCAGAATGATACAGACGATTCTGAAGTTTGTGTTGCTCCAGCTCTTCACTCTTCCAGCCTTCCAAGTGTCCTCAGTGATATTCCTTGTGTATCTGTGCTAGTGAGAGAAAAAGATAATGGATTGGTAAGAATGGGAAAGCTCTTTGTATATATTTTCCTTGGAAATATAAGTACATTCATTTTGGAATCTGGAATTTATTTGTGACTACACGAATTTTGGTTGTTCAATTCCTCTTTTGTCTGAAAATCTGTTTCCCAAAATGTTCAAATCTTGATTTTGTTTTAAATTGATATAGATTGAAACTTCAGCCAAGCAGAATGATACAGAAGACTGTCAAGTTTATGTTATTCCAGCTCTTCACTCTTCCAGTCTTCCAAGTACCTTCAGTGATATTCGCTGTGTACCTGTGCTAGTGAGAGAAAAAGATACTAGATGGGTAAGAATGGGAAAACCCTATGCATATATTTTCCTTGTAAATATACGTAGGTCCAATTTTGAATTTTGAATTTATTTGTGACAACAGGAATGTCAATTGTTCAGTTTCTCTTATGTCAGAAAGTCCCCAAGAAAGCTACTCCCTAGGAATTAGTTGAAGTTTAAACATGTATGGTAAGCAGCAATCTGTAAAAGAGTATGTTGTGTGTCCTCCACTTCCCTTTGTTGTCTTAATCTATCTGTTTTGTTTCATTTATCTGTAGTTGTACATTTGGGAAGCTGCTTCTTTTCATTCATTCATTCATTCATTCATTCATTCATTCATTCATTAATTCACTCATTCATTCCCCATCAAATACAAATAAATCAAGGCAGTGAAAATATCCAATATACCTTCCTATTTTCCCCACAACAGGCTGATAACCAGAGAAGATGGGCACCTGAAGATTATCAGGAGCCACCCTGGAGTGTGAACCAAACTGACCAGTGTCACAAAGTCTCTGAATGTTACAAAGATTCAGTAAGTTGATTCTGGTCATAATGAAAAGAAATGTTAGTAAGAGAAAATAAAACCTAGATGTGGGATATGAATGAAGAGTGATTGAAGGGTATAGAGAGGAGGGGAAACAGTTGCTTCTAAGAAAAGCAAAGATCTACTTTGACACTTTAAAGCATCTCCAACTTGTAGATAACCTGTAGATATATACAAGTCCTATAATTCACGTAGTCTGTTATTTGAAAAATTAAAGGGTGATCTCAATATATTTCAGGATAGAAAAAGAATTGTTATGCTCTGTGGATAAAATTGAGATGGAGGAAAAACATAATGTGTCACAATTATACAGTGGAATTAGATAGCATTCATAGGCCAGGAAGCTAAGAGATTAACATTTTAGCCTAGAGTTTAGTATTAATGACATTCTGAATTTTCATGAGTGGTTCTGAGTTTGAAACTGAAAAAGATGGATTTGTCTTGATTCTTTATTGGTCTCATTCTCTTTTCAGATATCTACTTCTATTTCTTCTAATGAAAAACATAATGTTGAAAGCCTGATAGAATCCAAGTCATGTTTTCAAAAGATTCATCACAGCACCAATTCCAAGCATTTTAGTACAAATCAGACCTCAAGAGACTTACATGGTCAAAGTTCAAGATCCTACGGCAGGCAAGATTGTAACTCAAGATCTTCTGGCAAGAGAGACCTATCCACTGAAAGACAGGACAGAAGTTCAAAATTATCCTGTAGGTAAGAACATAGTTCAGGATCTTCCCACAAACAAGAAAACTCCCCTGAAAGAGAGAAACATAAATCAAAAACTTCTTGCAGACAAGAACAGTCTTCCCAGAAAGAGGATTGTAGCCCAAAAACTTCTCTCATGCAAGAACATGGTGTGAAGACAATGTGCAAGTGAAAGCGTACTTCAAGATCCCCTCCAAAGAGGAAACAAAATTCGGGCAAGATCTCAGAAGTTGGATAGGTACTTTGGATAGCTTGTGTGTGTGTGTGTGTGTGTGTGTGTGTGTGTGTGTGTGTTTAAGGAGGCAAGTAAGAAAAAGTAGGGCCACATGGATAGGACAAATTAAGAAAAGGACCATGAAAAAACAGGAATTCTCATAGCAAAAAGGAAATGGTGGATACATTCAGATTAAGTGCTCTTAGGAATGTTCTAGTGGGCATCAGACTGAGATACAGACATTTCCACATACACATCAGCTTTGCTGTCAGACTTTTTGTATTTTTTTTTTACTTCATTGCTGCATCTTCACTGTGTTTTGCCCTCCCATTGAGCCAATTAGTACTTCATTCAGGTGGCAAATGTCTTTAACCAGTGAATATGTTTGTTTTTAGTTTGTGAGAGTAAGACTTAATCTTACATTCTTAACCATCTTAAAAGTACCTTGAATTTTAAATGTGATGTATTAGTTAAGTTAGATGCAGAAGAATGTTGCCACTCAAATAAGTCCTTTTCTCCCCCTTCAGGTGGAAAGAAGTTGGGAAGTTGGGAAGAAATTGTGGCTTCCATTGCCATTGCCATTGCCATTGCCAACAGAGCTGCAGTCCATCCCGAGAGAGTTTGTGGCAGAGATGTTGCTCTCCTTCTCATTTAACTTGTAAAATAAAACACCTCCATGTTTCCAGAGGTTTGATTTTTCTGAGGATTCTGGTTTTATATCAGAAATAGTTCAGAATGTAACCTATTTTGTTCTCATTGAAGGGATTGAGTTTTAGTATCTTTAGGAGAGTTTCTTAACAAATTATTGTGGGTTAGCTTTTTCTCTAAGCTTCAACCAGAGGTTATAATTGGATGCTTTTTTCTTGATAATGTGATCTCCAAAAGGAGAAAACTAAAGGGGGGGGGCTTAGTATTGAATTAATAGAAGTGACAAATGAGATGCCTATGGGAAGCCCAGAATTATCAAGCAAATTGAAAGGCATGTGTCATAAGTTTATTGAAGTGCCTTTCAATGTTGGCAGGAATAATTACATCTTGTAATGAATTCAAGAGATTGATTGAACTTTTTATGAAGAAATACTTCCTTCCATGAGAACTTGATTATATTTTGGAAAAGAACTTCGTAAATTAAGAACAAAGTAATAATTGGGCCTTGTTGAATATCTTTTTGGATAAATATTTCCAAAATTACATGGGAGGATATATGACTACAATTTAATTTAATTTATATCATGCTTTTAAATTTTTTACAAATAACTCAAACTGGTAAACTATCTAACATGCCTTCCTCCTATTTTCCTCACAACAACAACCCTGTGACTTGGGTTGGGCTGAGAATGATTGACCCAAAGTCACCCACCTGGCTTTCATGACTAAGTGAAACTTGAATTCACAGTCTCCTGCTTTCTAGTCTAGTGCCTTAACCACTAGACCAGTATTTTATTTTATTTTTTATTTTATACCACTCTGATATTTTTTTTCTACTTCTTTGTTTGCATTTGTATTGTTTTGGTCTTGGAATAGAAAACCAAGCATCTCTATGAAGAAAATAATAATCTGTGTCTGATTTTGTTTTTATTTCACAGAAATAAGTAATGTCTATGGAATGCCATGCCACTTTTCTCCAGAAAGATCTGTTGCGGTAAGAAAATATGGTTTTATCCTCCTGCTGGCTATGCTAGATGAGGGTGAAGAGAAACTAATAAATGATATCGTATCAGAAGAGATGATGCAAAGATGAAAGTGTATTCCCACTTCTTCCATTATGATGAAAGGAAATTCAGACTGTCTGCTTTAAGAATTAACATAAAGGTTATGTTAATTCTTGGGTACTGGGGGCCACAGAGGATGGACTTTGTAATACTTGAAACATGGCTTTTGTAGTATTGTTGCACTGACTAATTCACAGGGGTTTTCTTGTATTTTAAATTTGCTTTTTCAATTGCATTGCTGATAATTTCCCATAAGTCTTAACCTTCAAGAAAAGGTCTCTCTTTCAGAAACGAGGATGGGCAGGAGAGCATTCAGCACATTGTAGATAACAGTTTCATTTTTAGCTGTTCTCAAGCCTCCAACCTTGAGAAGCACTAAGAATGTATCTTACCCAAACCCATTTTGATATTTTTTTTGTTTGCTAATGTTTCTTTCTTTTACCTTTATTCAGAATACAATGCTCTTTTTTATGGCTATGCTGTAATTCTTGTGATGTAACTGAACAGATGACTATTTCTAAACCAATCAGCTTTTTGCTTTGAAGTTCTTTGTTGTGCTAACTATAAAAGTAAATGTAATCCATTTCTGGGGAGACCACACTTTATCAGAGTACTTTAAATGATCTTCGGACTTGGTTGTTTATTGGAAAAGGAAACCTAGGGCCAGATTTGGCCATCAGTATCCAGCCCAATTTTTCTGATTTTCTTGTCTTTTGCCCCTAGGAGAGACAAAGTTAGTAGGGGACCTGGTGTAGGAGAAAGATACTAGGCTGCAATTTATATTTCACTATCAGTTTAAGAATCTACATTCAGGAATCTCCTGGAAACTTGATAGCAATCACATACATTGTTTATATTTTGACTGGCCTTTTGGTATTTGAGTTCTATTACCAATTTTCACGTGTCTATTATATGATTGGTAATACCTTTAAAATTAAGTATGTGTGCTGTTGTCCTTTATCTACATTTGTTCCTTGTGTTTGTATTTTTTTTCCAATTTTTATTATTTTATTTTCAATACAATCATAAGAAAAAAAATTCAGATACGTAAGAAGTTAAAATACAACACACAAATTCCAACATTGCTCACCCATTTCCCCCCAGACCGCATCCCCCTCTCATCTCTTCACTTCCCCCTTCCTTCTACCTCCTCCTCTCATCTCCTCTCTCTCTCCTCCATCTTTCTACTTACTTGTCCCTCTCCTCTTCTTCTCAATCGGATGCGGTCTGCGGGAAAATGCCCGAGCAATCCTCTATCAACAAAATCTGAACTATTGAACATACTACCCATACTCCCCCCTCCCCCCACCCCCTTCCCCCCACCCCGACTTCCCAGAGCTCTGTACAGGGTTACAAAAAAAAAAAGAAGAAAAGAAAAAAAAGAAAACTAAACATAGTCAACTTAAATTTACTACTTATACAATAACCGGAATCCTAATAACCCTTAACTCTCTGCAAACTTGAATTCATAATTTAATAAAAATCCATTATTCATAAAATAAATGAAACTTTGTTGTTCCATACTTGTTCTGAATATATTCTATCCATCTTCTCCATACAGAAACATATCTCTTTTGTGACTGATCCTTTAAGTAAGCAGAAATTTCTATAAATACATGTTTGTATTTTGTTATTCACTTATCCTTCTAGGAAATTATCCCACCATAAAATCATTCTGGGAAACTGGACACTTAATTATCCATTATATACTGAATAATTAGTATAGATAAGCACTAGGCTTAATATAGTTTTAGTTTGCTGTTATTAAATAAACTTATCTCCCAGGGGAAATCACCCATGTCCCGATCCAGATGTCTTTGGACTGCATTGGTACAATTATAGTTTGTTTGATTAACAAACAGGGCAGAGTGATTCTGCTGTAGGATCTGCAGTTTAGCCTACCCGTGGCAATTGGTTACTTACAACCACTTGCTATAAATGTCTGTTTATTCTTCACTCACATATTAACACAACTACATGATCCCAAAGTGTATATAACTTTTGTGTATAACTTGTTACATTCCACATACACATCCATACAATTGTCCATGTAAGTTTTATAGGACTAATAGAGAGGACCCAAATCCCTCCAAAATGTTCAATAAAAATCCTCAATAAAAATTTATCAAAAGCTTACGTTTTAGAATAAGGCATAGTGCTTAGCTTGTGAAAATGTAAGCCAAAATGTACTATGAGACAAGACATAAGGCACAAACAGGAAAAGTTTGCATATATTATAGCTAAAAATGGTTCCCAGAAGTGGACACTTTCTGGAAGATGTTATGAAATATGTAGAAACATGATTAGCCAATGTACAAGTTAGGAATAGTTTTGCTGAATACAGGTAATCTTTGATTTACGACCATAATGGAGTCTGCCAATTACGATCAGGAATTGGGATGGCCAGTAAATCAACCACCTTACTTAATGATTCCCATCCCTGCTGTCCCCAATGCAAATCATTAAACAAGTGCACAAGTTGTTAAAATGGAGCATGAGGTGCACAGCTGTATAGCTGTCTTGTGAGTGAGAAACTATGGGGAAGGAAAACAGTGGATGCGTCTGCCTTTCCCAGTTACACTGCTGCCTTTTCTCCTTGGAGTGGCAGTGGCAGGAAATGCAGGAAAAGCATGATTCAGTGTTTCACATGCAAGCCAATCAGCTGTGCAGCAGGTAGACAAATGAACAGGAGGCATTGGGGAAGAAGAACAAGCTGTTCCCCCCCCCCCCAGGACATGTTCCTCCATCTGGAAGTGAGCACCATTTTGAAGTGCCCACAATTCATTATGGCCACTCTGAAAATGGCACTTGGTTCCAGACCGCAGCCATGCTGTCTAGTGACATCAAGCAATGGGGCAGTTTGCTCTTGTTCCCAATGCAATCTGCAGAGCTTCCAGAAGGAGGTATGTGTGAAAAGATAAATGAGTGATTGGTGATGGAGGCAGGGAGGAACATGTGGGACCTGGTGGCATGGGAAAGCAGGCCTAGTGACTATGGGGTCCCAGATGGATAGGGAATAGATGGGGGGCATCTGCAGTGGCTCTGTAAGCAGTCATAAGGTTGAACAATCATGAGAGCTCTACAGCTGCCATAACTTTGAAACCAGGTTGCAACTAACTTTTGCAGAGTCTGCCATAACTTTGAACCAATACTAATTGACCAGTTGTAAATTGAGGACTACCTGTATTGCACTGTATGTATGTAGAAATGCTGAGATGTTGGTGTTAGGACACAGAAAACATCTTGTGGCCCTATAACATGAAATATGCTGGAAATTGGGGTGGATACTGTATAAAACCCAGCAGTGGGCATTGAGAGGGTGTACAAGCTTTAAGAGAGATCTCCTTGTGTTCTTTCTTCTGCAGAATAAAATCAAGTTTACAATCCCACCTTGGTGTGCTCAAGGGCATACCAGTATTGGGTTGGGACAACAGGATGAATAATGTATATTTTAGTAGTGTTGCAACTCCTAGAATAGTCAGCGACAGAAACTAGCAGCCTTTCTTCACATATTCCTTATGCTTGTATGCAAATAATTAGGTTAAATTGGTTGTTTCAGTAAATCTCTAGGTGAACATATGCTGACAAATTTCCATATGGTACAAAGTTAACATGATATTTTTCTGCTAATCTACATGCAAACTTCCTATTTATGTGCAGTTGTTTAGAAAAGAGAATGTGGTAGGTACAAAAATTTGGACACCCTTTGTAACATTTTTTTTTTTTTTTGGCAGAAGTATCAGCTTCTAAAAATTTCTTATAACCAGTTAAGGGTCTTTTTATTCTTCCTTTCAAACTTTTATGTTTATGTTTGTTTTGTTTTGTGCTTTTTTTTTTTTACTATTCTTCCTTGCAGAACCAAGAAACTTTTCTACGTTGAAGATTCGTTCTCCGAGTTTGTGGGTTGCTTTCCAAACATTTCGTTACCAGGCTAGGTAACATCTTCAGCAGTGTTTAAGGGATGTCTGTAAATTCTGCTGAAGATGTTGCCTAGCCTGGTAATGAAACGTTCCAAAACCAACCCACAAGCTCAGAGAACAAACCTTCACCTTCATCCTACACCTGAGCTACAGATATTCACCACTATTGCAAACTCTTCTATTTTTAGGACTCCTTATGTATGCTGAATGTTTGAAATCCACCCACAAGTTACAGTAATATTCAAATCTGTGGACTGCAAAGTCCATTCCAAAAACCTTTCCCTGAAGCATACAATTTAACCAGGGATATCTAAATTTTTGCATGCAGCTGAATACCCTTTAAATTTTATTTATTTATCTTCACTGGACAATAAATACTGGTGGCAAATGCACCAACATTGCTCCGTTGATTTTTTTTTTTTTTTAAACAGATGTCTTTTTGGTATTATCTCAGTACTTGCCTTTGGGATCCTAACATGATCTTTTCTCCTCTGGGCCTGTAGAATGAAAAGGAATAAGAGAGAGCAGACAATTGGTGGAACCTAAGATAATTGAAAAGAAGAAAAAAACAACATCAAAGACTGGAAAATTGACACCTTTTTTATGGTCCATAAAGCATTTCCAGTTATAAAACATTGTGCTGCTCCTCTCCCAGTCAGATGTTTGTGATCTGGATGCTTGGTAACCATTCACACTTAAAATCGGTTGTCAAGTGCCTCAACAGTGAACTCCATTTAACAATGTTCTCTGTTAAATTCTCCAGAAAGTCAGTGGGGAAGCCAGCAGAGAAGGTTGCAAGCTGATGCCATCAGCAAAAGGATTTTCCCTGCATGCATGGAGCAGTATTCTTTTTTTTTTTAATTATTTTTTTTTATTTTCCATTTATTCGTACAAAATAAAGTAAATTCCTAACCATTGGTACCGCCTGCCCATTCCCCCCCAGGCTGCGTCCACCCTCTCTAATCCTTCCCTACTTCCCTTATGGAGCAGTATTCTTGTGCTGGGCTGGAGAAACAAAGCTTAGATTCCAAAGATCTGACCTTCGTTTCTTCAACCCGCAGCAAGCTCTCAAAGGCTAGGGAACTGGCCCTTTTTTTTTGCCCCAGAAAGGCAGGGGCAACTTAGCAGGATGATGGGCAGTGGCAGAACCAAGAAAGGCAGGGGGCTCAATGTTTTCCTTCCCCATTTATTTTTTGCTGGCAAGACAGCTCTTTGTGGGCACATCTGAGAGCCATCCAAGGGATGGGAAGCATCTTGGGATGGGGGAAGCCTTAGGAGGCTTGATGCAAGTGGGCTTGAGCCTGCACTAGGCCTCCCAGGATCTCCCCCACCCCCACCGTGTTGCACTTAAGGATCTGTTGATGGAGAGTGCAGAGATGGCTGATCTTTACCTGAGGCAGTTCATTTAACGTTTGTCCTGACTTTCAACCCTAATGGGCAGGCTTCATTACAGTTATAACTCGAGGACTATCTGTATTGGAAAGTTGGATCTACTTTGTAGCAAAATTACTATATACGTTCTAGACTTCCTTTTTCCTAAGTATTCAAAATACGAATAGTCTAGTTTTATGCAATCCTATGTAGCAGTTTTTTTTTTAATTGAGGAGGCTGTTAGCTCTGTTAACTACGTATCTCATTGAGAAATTTATTGATACAGCCATCAACCAAAAAGAAGGAAACAACCTCTTCTTGCCACCTTAATGCTGAAGAAGAAACTAATTCTTCAGCCCCATCCTGGACTCCTAAAGACCGCTCTGCAGCAGTGCTGGCAAGAAAAGAAGAGCTTGAACAGGTAAGGAGAAACCGAGCTTCCCCACTAGCTCCCAAACATGACTGCTGAAGATAACAAAAGAAATGGTAGAGAGGAAAGAAAGAAAAACACTTTAGAAAACTAGTTTTGGAGTCAGAGGACTTAGCTTGTGCATTTCACCTGCATGATTAAGGATTGGGCTTCTTTGTATTCCTTTATTTATTATCAGGCCACTTATGTCTGAGACTGTGATCCAAGACCTACAAAATCAGGGAACATAAGCACACATTATAAACTCTAAATCTTAATTTGTAAATTAGATTCTGAGAATTCATGATTTGTTTATAGTGAGTATGAAAGGAAGATGGCCCTGATGAAAACAGGGAGGTAACATTGCATGTTTCATTCAAGGTCATCTTTCTTACTCATTATGCCTGCCTTTAATACTCCAGAAGTTGCTGAATAATGACCATCAACATTTCCACAATTGGCCATGAACTGTGGCTGCTGGAAGAGGTTTTTCAGAAGGCCCAGCTTTGCCACCCCTGCTTTAAAGAAATAACTTTGTTTTTCAGTGTCTAGTTGACAACCTTTGTTTCAAAGAATTTATCTTCTCTGTCCAATCAGTGTAGATTTTCAGTGATACATCCAAAGTTGAGCTCAGTGATGTTCCAAATGTGGATGGGGCTGTGACACAAGGGGAACTTTACCTGTATAGACTGAATTTATTGTTGTTCAACAGACTCATCTGAATTCTAATCATTTGAAATAATACTGCTACTATCCACATGCATACCATATCCAGTTTACTCCAGAAGTGCTTTCTGAGAAAAACAAGGACAAAAATTGCAAACATGGATGCTTTGTGTATTCTCTACTTTGAACTTTTTAAAAACAATGATATATATTTACTTTTATATATTCTTGGGTGCCCCCCCATTTTATGCTCTTCTGATCGTTGCCACAGACCCAGTGATTATAGATGGAGTATCAGTAGTGTGGTCTTAAAAATGCATTGCTTATTCATTGGCCTGATGGAATTTGGTGTTTCACTTTAGGCCTACCTGCAGGTCCTTCTCAACTTTGGAGTAATAGCCATCATGCTGGTGGAAAAGGAACCCTGCATGATAGAAGCAATGAGCTCAGCACTACGAGCTAACCTGAGAAAGATTGGAGACTACTATGAATGTCTGCTAAAGAACTACATTGACAGCTTAAGCTAAGAAGACATCACATTGCCAGATCTACCTAATGTAACTGAAGCATTTTTTAAGTCAATTAAGCTTTCTATTCTTCAGGCCTGGGATAAAGCGATAGCCTTGGAGAAGGCCCCCTTTTGGCAGTAGAGCTGAGAAACCACATTCTCCTGCAATAGCTACAGAGTGCAGAAGTGACAGCTAGCAGATTTGAAAGCATTATTGTAATATCAATCCAAGAACTTGGAAGAGAAAATTGGGAGGAGGAAAGCAAAAAACTGTTAAAAGTTGAGTGTGATGCCTAATGGATTCTGAATGGCTCAGGCAACTCAGATCAGGCAGTAACTGGAACAGGAATAGAATCTACTAGATTTATACTTTGAGTTACATGGAGACATCACATGTTATTGGTAATAGACAAGAAGTTCTTTTTTAGGGTATTAAAAATACCGTTGAGCAGTTTTGAATGTTGGTCTTTGTGCAGAAGCAAACTGAAGAAGATCTCCGTTCTGTGATGTTCCAGTAATACTCAAGAGAAACCCTGGTAAAACTAGCATTTGCTCCTTTCAAATCTATGAAGTAGCATTTGTAAAAAAAAATAAAATCATTTTGAGACAACTTATCTCTCAGAGTTGCCTTCGTTGGTGAGTTTGCCTTCGGGGTGTTGTTCCTATTCAGACATATTTTTCTTAAGTTTCTGGTTGAGGTTACCAAGTTAAGCATTCAAATAAGATAATGAAGGCAAGCTTAATCCATTTTTTCTTTATCTCAGCATCTTTTCAATATATCTTTATGTGGAACTTTGGACAATAAAGGTCCACCTCAGGGTTTTAAGATTTTATGTACACCAAATAAAAGGGCTACTATTTAGATCATATTATCTCATTCTCTGCATTAGAATACATAACAATATGTTGCTTCTTCTTTAATCTTCATGTGGTACAAATGACTTTCTGCAATCTCTCATTTTTCCAGTTATGTTGGGCTAGCAACATGGTTTAGAGCTAGAAAATTTCTGTATCTTATTTTTGGAAGAAAATTGAATGACCTACCATATAGCCCTCTGCCCTGATTTTGACTCATCAGCTAAGGGACCCTTCACACAAGAAAACATAACAAAAACAAATGTATGGCTGATGGGTGGGAAAATAGGACAACCCCAAAAAATGGAATAGCATTGAATCCACATACAGCTTCTTAGCAAGATCCAGTGTAAGTAATAATAGCTGTTTAACCCATTTTATCATCTTCCTAGTGTTATTTCCACAGAAGCAGGATCCGCTTTTCAGGTCAACAAATGCCATCTTGCATAATCAAACACAGCTGGGTCATGTCTGCATTTTGATGGAGATGGTTGCAGATCCATTGGTTGTAACAAAAAAAATCCTGACTGACTGACTTGTCCTCTGGACCTGACCTTGGTTTGGTCTGTATTCAGCTTAGCACTTCCCTGACTGACAGGCAGTATCCAAGAGCACCCACTAGGAGGAGCAGGCCTCACTGCCTGCTGTCTAACTCAAAGGCATTACATTTTCCCCTAACATAAAACAAGACTTCATGGCAAAGAAAGGACATTTTTATAAAGCATTATTACATGATGGAGTTTTATTCCTATCTGTCCCAAGATTTTTCTTGACAGCTAGATTTCAGTCTTTAAGTTCTGATATTACAAATTGCTTATTAATCACAGATAAACACACAATGTTATACACAGAGACTAAAATACAAACATTAATTTCTACTGGTTAACAATCACAATAAAGTTGATTTGATCTGAAACATCAATTAAATTGTTAAAAGTATACTTATTAAACTATGTAGTAAATAGCTGATTTCCAAAACAAACTGAAACATATGCAAATGACAAATTCCAAGTAACAAGTGTAGACATTTGAATTTTCCAGAATTCTTCATCAGCAAATGTGTGCAAAGCAAAAATGGGAAAGGGATAATTTACTACTTTGTTCCCCCTGCCTAAGTGGCACCCCCTAATTTAACTCAGTGTGTGGCTCTGACCAATGCATACAAGGGATCTAGCTGACATTTCAAAGCAGTTCTGACTTAAGGCAGTCTGAGTATCCTTTCAGTTCCTGATCCTGATCTGCATGCCTGGTTGTTGAATTTTAGGAAGATAATTCTGTAGGCTATTTGTATTAGGTAGGTATGTCTGGGTAGTCCTTCTGATAGTTAAGAAAATAACCATGTTTCCTGGTAGATACCATTTGTTTACAGTTGAGGAAAGGCCATTAATCAAATCAGACACAATTTCTAAACTCCCATTCCACTTGCCTCTTCTATGGCTTTTACCTCATGTTTTTATTAACTTTTCCTGTAATAGGAAGCAATTGTTCTCCGTCTTGCCTTAAAATCTCTTGTCTTACAGCTAGTTTGAAGCAGTATTAAAAACTGATCATATATTGACCATAATTTAGTTCAAGGAGGATCAGTTTCTGATCCTTTTTGGACTGCACTTCAGTTTGTCATCTAACTCACTGTTGAAATAATTGGCTATAGAAATGACTACAGGGGAGGTGAGGAGAGCTTTGGTCTGTGGAACATTACTATTTCATGGTGTTTATGTGTTATCAACAAAGGATTTGTCTAGGAGCTTCTATGTATTGAAAGGGGAATTTCTAATTTGGCAAAAGCACTGGGGAAAGTTTTCATTTTCTATTAAAACCCAATGAAGATGCTTCAAGATTTGATATATGAGCTTCCAGAAACATTACTATAATAATTCTGTTAATGCGTTCCATTAACATTTATATTGCAGATTCTGTCCAAGAGGAGGAACTTTATAAATAGCTGTGAAATAGATTAAATCTATCTCTACTTTGTATCCAAATTTATCAAGCCTTCACTTCAAGAAAGCATTTTCCACTTCAAGAAAGCATTTTCTTAAAATCATCAATGAAAACATTGATCATTATGCTACAAAATCACCATCCTTTTGTCCTCTTCCTTCAGCCTAGCTGAAGGAAGCATTCCTTCTTTTTGACTCCTGACCACTTCTCAAATCCTGAAATGAGAATTTAGTTTTGATTTAATTGACTTAATTCCACAAGAGAAGTATAAACATGGCTGTCAACAGTTGAGTCAGAGGAATTTTTTTTTCTTTTTTTTAATTCCAAGAAGCTGCACCAACTTCCAGTACGTTAGGATTACTGTATTTTCCTAATTTCTGCCTCCTCTTTTTCAAGTAACATCAACTTCTCCTATTAATCTTTCCCAAGCAAAGTGTTACTATGCAAATGGACCTTCCTTTTAGCAGCACAAATGTGTATGTGATCTGCATGAATGTAAACCTTGTGCCTTCACTGCTGTAACAATACATTCTTATGGCCTGACAAGGTCTCAGTGCCACATCTGATGTTATTTTTCTACCCTTTTTGTCTATAGTTGAACTCTCTGTATGCTCCACCAAAAGTGAATCACATCTCCAAACCACTTACCTCGCCCACTTTTCTTTGAACTCACTCTTAACCTGTCATTGATTTGAAAACATTAAAATCTCTATAGACCGTTGCTTGAATTCCTGTGTATCTGACCCACTGATCTGACATTAGCCTCAAATCTCATTTGATAAATTGTATTTTATTTTATTGTTTTAACTTCCAGAACATACATATCTGTGTAATAACATATAGTTTACAACATCCAGTCAGAACTGCTGCTATAGGAGGCCCAGTTTGTAACAGTGACTTAATGTTCCAACCACAAGTGTGTGTTTAATTACAGTCTTGATAGAGTGTGGGAGTCAGCTGCAGACATTCAAATGAGACTGTATCTGATGCCGAGATAGGAAATCTGAGTCAACATGAAAATAAGACCTGTAGCATAATGTTTTGGAAAAACATCTCAAGTACAGAAAACAAGTATAAGATTAAACCTGTTTCCTTGACAGGTGAAAGAGCATTAAGTGGTTAGTTTCTTCAGAGCAAACTTGGAGTAATCATCCTGTCGACCTGAAATATTCCGTGCTTGGCAGAGCCAAGGTTGAATACTGTAGCTTTTCACCAATATCATCAAAACTAAATACAGTAATACAGTCTGGTAGCCTTTTTTTTCTTTCTTCAGCATCTATCTTACGAAGAAAATTTAAGAATTAATTTTAAACTCTTGAGTGAGCCAAATAAAAGGGGTTTAGAGATTTTTCTTATAGCCAAGGTGACAGTTACCTTTATTTGGTTTTAATAAAAATGTACTGATTTGTTAGAAATAATTCTCCATGGCACCCAAAATTATAAAACAAATGCTGACTTTTTTATCTGCTTTTTGGACTTATCAGCCTTGCAGCAGGAAGAGAATGGGAATATATATGCATGCATACAAGCATCTTTGAGCAGGTTTCTGATACTAATTTTAATCTATTCATTGCAGAAGATGATCTGCTTTCATTACTATCTCTTTCCCCTTTGCTTTATCTGTTCAGATGGCTGTTGTCTGTCTGCTAGGATATACTACAGTGTTTGCTGTTGGCTCTTGCTCTGGCAGCCCACCCCATTCCTTTCCCAAATGTTTCCTGCTCCATGTTGGTGAAAGCTATGCATCTGGAACCAGGCTTTGGAATTGGCTTCCCAAAGAAGAAGCCTTCTGGCTCAGAGTCAGAAGAGGATGAGGATGAACAAGTGAGATACTTGGCATCATCTTGTTCCATAGTAGCTTCCTGTTCCCCATTGCTGCCTTCATGCATTCTGTCTGGAAAATCCATAATTAATACAGATGCCTGTGAGGTTACAGAGGGTCTGCTTTTGAAGTGGAAGTCTGCTTGTTGCCGAGATGTTTCTTGAAAATATGTTTTTAAATTGTGATTATCCCTCACAACTGTGGTGCTCCAAGCTGTGTCCATGGGATGAGAGATGGAGATTCGTACATCCTCTTGAGGTGAAACAGTCAAGGACTCAAATACATGAAGTTGTGGGGTGATAGTTCTGTTTCTGAAAGAAACTGATTCCTCTTGGCTGTCAAACTCAGCATACGCTGAGGGATTCCCACATGAGTGAAGCCTTTTAGTCACTGCAAAAGGAATTAAAGATTAGCAGTTAGGAGAAATGAGGATGATCCTGCTTACTGAATAATTCCTAGAAAACATTCCAATAACCATTTTCTGGTATCAATGAGTTAGCAAGTGGTTGAAATGTCCATACAGGCTTGTTCACACATTACTGTACTTTATAGCTTATTTTTACTCTGGTTTCTTGTATAAACTATAAAAGCTTGATTCACAGAATCTGCTAAGACATAAATCATGGCTTAGAAACTACAGTAGCTAGGCCCATGTACCACACAGAATCAAAATCAAACATTATGGCTTTGCATTTTTTAACTCAGCTAAGGGTTCCAGTTATTCTATGAAGCCATTTCATAGATTCATTGAGTTGGAGTCATTTAAGTTACAGAGTCAGGAATCCAAATTAAAACTCTATCTGAAAGCTGTTTGAATCAAAGGAAAACTCAGTATTTTTTCCCTCTGTCCAGTTGTAACTGCTCTTAAATTTTGATTACTCTTCAGTTAGAATCTGATATTCCCTAATGTGATTGTATAATCTGTCCTAGAAGTTTGCCTGGTCTGTAATTCCCTGGATTCTTCTTTTTCCTGTTTTTGAAGATAGAGATAAAACTGTCCTTCTGTAGCCACATTCGCTAAACTGGTTCTGCAGGATTTCTCAAAGAGAATGTATAATCATATATAATCCACCAGTTATGTTGACCAGACCATCAGCAAATTGCTTTTGTATTCCATTCAAATTCAAATTCAAGTAGGCAATTCTTATATTTTTATCAAGCTAGAAGTGGAAACCTGCTTCTTCAAACAGTTCTTCATAACTGGCTGAAGAAGAGAGTGACTGAAAATAGGAATCAATTAGTTCTGCCCTTTTTGTTGTTATTCTCTGTTAGTTTTATGTGCTATTTATGAAACAACTGGAACACTGCTTCTTTGAAACGTATCTGATTATTCTTAGCATCTTTAATTATAGTTTTCTCATCTACATGTCTACATGTAGTCTTCCATGTTTGCACGCCTCTTCTCTCTTAATGAGTGTCCTTTTTAACTTTTCAAATCTTCACTAAGCTTTGGAGAAAATTATATTAGCTTTTTCTGCTATCTACATTTTTTTTCCTCATTGGAATTCTTTGCAACTGTGCTTTTAAGAACTTGTGTTCTATAAATTCTTATTTATCTTTCCCAATCTCCTTGTATTCATTACTGTTCTGAATTCATTAAAATCTGCTTTTTTGACATCTAAGATATATAATCAACTACACTGAGCATTAGTTTCTATTAATTTCAAGAATTCCAGTATTGTATCGTCATTGAAGAGGAACTAAAGAGCCTCTTGATGCGGGTGAAGGAGGAGAGTGCAAAAGTAGGCTTGAAACTCAACATTAAGAAAACCAAAATCATGGCATCCGGCCCTCTCAATTCCTGGCAAATAGATGGGGAAGAAATGGAGGTAGTGACAGATTTTATTTTTCTGGGCTCCAAGATCACCTCAGATGGGGACTGCAGCCAAGAAATTAAAAGACGCTTGCTCCTGGGGAGGAAAGCTATGGCAAATCTAGACAGCATACTAAAAAGCAGAGACATCACCCTGCCAACAAAAGTGCGTATAGTCCAGGCCATGGTTTTCCAGTTGCAATGTATGGCTGTGAAAGTTGGACCATAAGAAAGGCTGAGCGTAAAAGAATTGAGGCCTTTGAACTATGGTGCTGGAGAAGACTCCTGCGAGTCCCTTGGACTGCAAGGCGTTCAAACCGGTCAGTCCTAGAAGAGATCAACCCCGACTGCTCTTTAGAAGGCCAGATCCTGAAGTTGAAACTCAAATACTTTGGCCACCTAATGAGAAGGAAGGACTCACTGGAGAAGGGCCTAATGCTGGGAAAGATTGAGGGCAATAGAAGAAGGGGACGACAGAGAATGAGATGGCTGGATGGAGTCACTGAAGCAGTAGGTGTGAACTTAAATGGACTCCAGAAGATGGTAGAGGACAGGAAGACCTGGAGGAACGTTGTCCGTGGGGTCGCGATGGGTCGGACACGACTTCGCAACTAACAACAACAATCGTCATTTTCATCTGAAGGTACCATTTCTACTACTATTGCTATTGTTGTCTGTATTGGAAACTACCATCAGGTCAATGATTGGTTGGCTATTTTTGAAGTCCTAGAACCTCACAGATTTTCCTCCCTCTTAGCACATGTTCATCTGCAATCTCTGAGTTGTGAGAACAGACAGATAATAGTTGTCAGCTGCCTTCTTCCTATGTCGGCACACTGGCATAGATTGCCTTCAAATGTGCAGTGATAGAAGTCAGTTGGAAGTTCAGTGGAAGTATATTGAGGATATATTACCTACAGAATCTTAAATAAGACTGCATGAGACATTCAGTGATAGAAAATCTTCATTTGGGCAGGATCAAATAGCATCTGTTCCACCCAAACCTCGAGAGGATGACATGCAAAAGCCTTACCAAGTGCACCTCCCCTTTCCCCACAGCCATCTCTTTGAGTTCTGGCGGTTTCAGAGGAGCAGTCAGGGCTGCTGTTTCTAGCTCTTGAAATTGGGGTGGAGTCAGGGGATGGAGCAGAGATGAAAGCAGAGTCAGAGGAATCCGAGCCACTGGAAGACAAAGCTGATTCCTTTTCCAAACTACAGGCCTCAGAGCAGAAGAGAAGACCATGGTGAATGGTGATCGGCTGACCCAGCAGTGCTTTATGGCAAAGGCTGCAACAGAAACACGAGTCTTTGCTGTGCCAGTGTTGACCTTGTAGTACGATCTGTTTACTGTTGAGGCCTGTGAGAAGAGAGCAACAATCATTTCCTCTCCTGCACTATTGCTGGAAAACTATTTATGTCCTAACTTGGTTGAGAACAATCTGCCTGTTATGTTTCAGACTTTTAAAAGAAATCAATTCAAAATGTGTAAACAAAAGACAACAAAAGATAACAAAAGATTAATATTAAATCAGAAGTTTTTATAAACATGAAGCAGCCTTGCATGCTAAATTAAGTTTTAACATTGTGATCCTTATCCAAACTTCACAAAGCTATATAACAGCACTAGAGAGATTGATTCTATATTACTTTTGCTTTTACTTTTCTTGGTTTATACCTTGAGAGAGGAACCTCTGGCCTTCCAGCTGTTGTTAAACCACAACTTTCAGAATTCTGTATTATCAGGTGGCTTTGAAAACAGATTAAATTCCTATTGTAACACTATCTCACATACAACCACTCACTCAGAAGTGAGAAGCAGAGATTTCAAAGGAACTTATTCCTTGACAGTAAGTATAGGATTCCAGCCACAAACCAATGGCTAACAGTCACAAAATAACACCTAGTGATATGGCCATAAAATAGAGACAGCTAATATAACTTGCTCTTGCTTGCTCTTAGACACCTATATCATCACAAGAGATCATTTAAACACTGATGTTTATGCTATATGTTGATAGTATCATGAAGAATATTAGAAGTATAAAAAGTAATAGTAAAGTCAATCTAACAGCTTATCAAAACAGAGGAAAAGGTGTTGTATAATTGCATTAATACTTTTATCTCAATATTGATATAATCTAGAGAGTGGGATTATTGCAGACTCTCTCCTGCAGTCTGTTGGCCGAAAGCCCAGTGATGACTACAAGTAATTTCCAATAAAGTATGCTTTGTTGCTTCTATCTCCAAATGCTTTGGTTTTCCTTTTAAGTGAGCATTTTTCTCATAACACTATGAACACCAAATACATAATAATTAAAATATATACCAGACCAAATTCTGAATCATGACCATGCACAAATGTTGTCGCGATGACAGAAGATGAATTATAGTACAAGTATATGGTAGCTGGTGCAAATCTCTAAATAGCAGGTTTTGTGTCATTTTGTAGCTTGATCATGTCCCTTCCCCCTCCCCTTATTTTCTCCAGTAGATGTCCATGTTTGTATATCTTTATAATCACGTAGTCCCAAGTAACCTTTCAGTAACACTCAGGCAATCTTCAGGCAAGTTGATACTTCTGAAAAACGGGAAGGGCCGTAAACTCTGTGCCCATGCTTCGCTTGCAAGAACATGCCAGATTCACTCCTTAATAGGCAGTGCTGATCTAGATGGAGTGATGATCTGAAGCAGGTTCATACTTTCCTTCACAAGTCTACAGAAGAATTCCTGACCTACCAACAATCTCTCCGCAGGCTTGACAGATATCTGCATAAAGACTCTCAAAGCAAGCACAGCAGCAGGGTTGTCCACCCTTCATCACATATTGCTGAATCCGCAGGGGCAAGTCACACTCGAGACAGCAAAAGTGTTCTTCATGCCAGCGCATGCCTTCTGCCTCCACGCACTCGGAGGTGAAGATCAGCTGAAGAGACATAAGAGATGAAAGCTCATATTGCTATGGGCTAGATATTAAGGTGAAGTATGCAATGTACCAAGATCAATTTTCTTCCTAAGGTAAGAGCATAGGCTACATGACCATCATTTACTCAAGCCTTTGCAGTGACCCTATCCCATAAATCAAGTTTTCTGTTTAAAAATACACCATATTTATCCAACTGACAATGTTCTCTTGATGTATCTCAAATAGGTCATAATCTATTCTTTAAAAATCTTCAAAGTTATTAGGCTTGAGACCATGTTAAATATGTACACATCATCTACTTTTGCCTGTTTTATTTTGCTGTTTCTATGACAATTATCACTACCCAGCACCGTTAAGAATTCTGAAACTCCACTTAATAACACATTGGTCTCTGCATATTCTAGATGTTTTATCCTCCTATATCATGTACCTAATTCTCTTCCATATTCCTAATTACAAGATCAAAAAACTAAAGGGAAGCAAATTTAGGAATTTGTATAGGGGATAAGAGAGATATATGTGGTTAGATCTCTTCCAAAATAAAATCTCTCCAATTATGATGGGGAAAAAAATAAAAATCCAATTTTATCATGAATGCTCTCCTACGGGATTGAAGCTCAAGTCTCTCAATCTGGATTTGGAAACGGCCAGGCTAGATATATCAGCTGATTTAGTTACAAGAGCACAAACATCACCACATATACCTACCTGATCACATGAAGCACAGCGAGGGTGGAAAAATTCTGCATGGTGCCGACCACAAAAAATCTTCTCATTTCGATGGAAGTAAATTAGATCTATGAGTGGTTGCTGGCAAATGTGGCAGACAAAACATGTAGGATGCCACCAGCACTGTTCGCCTAACTTAGAGGCATACACACCCTGGTCTCCTCTGATTATATTCTTATCACACTAAAAATCAAGCAGAAATAATTCCTTTATCTAAGAGCCTTAATTATAACTATCTTCCTTCTATAAACTATTAAGACTGCTATGCATCCTTAACTTCAATAATTAAAATCAAATTATTTTACCCAGGCAATTCAAATTGTGAGTGAAAGGAATGTGCAAAGTGCAATGTTAGCAAATTGCACTTGTTTGCATAGCTGATTTTTCTGTGTAAAATTCTATAGTGTTTGCTGTTTTGTTTTATATTGGTTTTCATAACAGAGGAGGCAACCACTCTGTATCCCTCCAACAACTACAAATATTACTTAATCGTCTCTTGAATTTCTAAGATTTCAGTAAATGCTGCCTTCATCTTTTTCAAATATACCTTCTCTGACATAAGGACCTACAACTTCCACCTGCACCTGTTACCATATCCAAAGTTAGTATAACTGCAAAGATCACACTAAGCAGGGAAAACAGGGTTAGAGATAAGCCCAGACATCTTCATAATATGTCCAACATCATGATAAGAATAGCTCACATTTCTGCATAAATACTCGTGAGCTGTGAGAGGCAGATGACGTAAAACTCCCTGCCCCAGCGATTCCTGTCGCCTCCATGCAGCAAAGATACGGAGTTGCTTTCTTTCCTGTTCACCGATGAATGGACAATATTTCTCCTTAAATAAAAAAGGAAAAATGATGCCAAGATCCAGAAGAAGTATCTAGATAAATATGTATATTTGAGATGCAGTAACAAAACAGAGACAGATGTTGATCAACTTGCAAATATTTTTGAAGTTTTATTGTAATACCCAAAGATGCTTTTCAGACTTTCTCAGGTTTTTTTTTTCCCTTGAAAAGATTTTGCTTCTCAGCTTCTTAGATGAGAAGCGAAAAGTTTTCAAGGAAAAAAATATCTCAAGAAAGTCCAGTTGCCTTTTGAAAAGTATCTTTGGAACAACCATGGCCTGGATGATTGAGAATCTGCGTAGACATTTATTATAATAACATAATTTTATTTTTACATTTGCATTTTATTTCATGGCTTTGGTTGGCTTGGTTCAAAAAATTGGCTTGTACATAGTTAAATGAAGATCTTATTGCATGTATTTATTTTATTAGTCAAGACTGTATCATGTATCTGTTAATAAATCCCAATATTATATTTAGTTGGCAGCTCATTTCTCTACCAGTTTCCTTCTTAGCTCTTTTTCTTTAACATGATTCCGGAATTCTATGTATATCTATTCAGAAAAAATCTTATTACATCAAAAGTGACTAATTCCAAGTGAATAGGCACAGGATTATACTTGGCTTTTCTCCAAATCCTACTTTTATCCAATACACAATGTTTGCAAGCAAAATATTTAAAAGCCTGGGCAGTGTGTCCCAATTTAATGATCTCTTTACTAGCTGAGTGCTAATTTTGACTTTAATGTTGGAGTCAGTCATGCACATATGAAAGATACCAAATTGAGGAAGAAAGTGCTAGGGGTTGGCTAGGTCATTAGAGCAGCATTACTACAATAGCTTTACTCAAAGCTGGCTACTACCTAGTGGATGTGAACCCAGAGAGGTTATTTGTAAATTTAGCACATTCTATTTAGATAGAAAGAGACTTTAAATTTATCTTTACTTCAGTGGGCCAAAAATCTCTTTCAGTTGTTTAGTTCTTAGGAACAGCAATAAAATCCTCAGTCAGCTTTCTGACCAGAATGTCCTAGAGCAGGCCCCCCCCCAACCCCCAGTCCATGGACCGGAACTGGTCTGCGGCATGCCAGAAACTGGGTAGCACAAACAAGCAAAGCCCCATCTACAGGATGCAGGCGGCACACAAAACCATGCCCCCTGTGGTTCACGGAAAAAACTCCATGGAACTGGTCCCTGGTGCCTAAAAGGTTGGGGGCCGCTGTCCTAGAGGACTTTCACGGGAACATTAGTTGCAAGTAAGTTTGGTGAGCCATATAACAGCTGGACTCTGGCACAAGGGGTCGTAGGGGCCATACAACAGTATCTTCCCAATCACCATGAGGTAAAAATGACAAAACATGTGTCATGACTATGCAATGCAACTTTGCATTTTTGTACTGCATGTAAGAACATGAAGAATAAAATTGTGTTACCATGCACATTTCATCACTTGTTCCCTTTCTTCCCCCATAGGGACCTGAATCACCAAGTTAGTGCATTTTTATTATTTATTAAATTTCTATATCACCCATCTCAGCTAAGTAACTCTGGGCTGTTTACAACATTTGTTTGGTTATATTTTCTCCTTGTTATCATATTAAAAAAAAGGAAGCTTCTCCTATTGCTGTTTTTTTTTTTTTAGAAAGATCATGGAACTGCATGATTAGAATTTGAAAAGAATGGATAGCCCAAATAATTTTTTGAGTGCAAAGAAGGAGCATAAGAAAATAGTTTTGGCAGGACTCTTTAATCAAGTGATGCACAAATAAAAAAATAGACCCAGCAAACCCTGGGTAAGGCTTTAAGAAACCTACATTGCAGTCTTGTGGAGGCAGCTGGTAGAGGAGAATTTTGATACGGAGCTGATTGTGAATAGCAGCAGGGACAACAGCTGATGAACAAGAGCTAATGCTTTGTAATACCTGTAAAAGTAAATGAGGTGGAAATGAAGCAGTGATATTTCTATGTATTTGGGAGGAAAACAGTTTTCTGCACTACCCTCTGTCTTACAGATCATCTTCTCTGGGCTTGATAGAAAATCTGAGGTCTTCCCACATTAAGAAATGAAGGGATAATGAAAACAAACCAACAGAAGGAAGACAGCTAATTTACTTTCCATTTATTGTATAGAACCTAACTAGGAAAAAAGAGTTTGCCAAAGATTAGACCTATCTTCCTGCATATGAATTTGATCAAGCAGTAAGACTTGAGATGGGAAGTCTCCTCACCAAAAGAACAGAAAAATTGGCAAAAATGATTTTTTAAAAATAGTTCCTTTGTTTTCTGCATTTTTTCATAACTCTTTTCCTGAAAATTAAAAATACTGAAAAAAATATTTCCGATTACATTTCATTTATATTATATGATAAAATTGTTAAGATGAACAGAAATAACTTTACAGAAAAAAAGAATTTATTTTGGAAATACAGCAAATTATATAATAATTTTGCATGGGCATTGTGAAGCTTTCCTCAGTATAATTGTAGTATGAAAATGATAAATCATGAGTCAGAAAATACTGATAATTTCAAATTCAGAAAAGAAGACCGATTAGATAACATTTCATTATTCTAAAAATTATGAGTAGTCTGTCTTTCTCAGCCTTTTAATTAAGTTTAATAAACCAAATTATACACAAAATATTTTATAGAGCAATAAAATTATTTTATATCTATAAAGGGCGTAAGTATTGCACATATTTCAATTTTCCTCCCCATTAGTTTTTCCTCCCCAAAATATAACCGGGATCTTTGTTTTTTCCCTACTGCTTCAAAACTGCCAGAGATTTTAACATCGTCAAGTGATTTTTACATCTTCAAGTTGTAATCATCTACTGTTTACAATCCACCTGTTCTCAAATTATTTTATTTTCCTGGAATCAAGCATGACAATAACAAAAGGTCATGTGTGCAATACTGATATTTACACAGATTTATGTGAATTGGGTTGGTCCCAGATCCAGAGGCAGCAAAAGGCAGTAGCCAACTTGCTACTGTCATAACTCCTATTGACTTGTCAAATGAAAACACTGTTCACTAGCCGATCAGGAAAAAAAATCTCACCAGGATTAAACCTTGTTAACATTTAAATAGGAAATCAAAATGAAATCGCAGAACTTTAAACTTGTCTGTGAAATTGAGGGGGAAAACATCCTGGAGTAAGGCAGTGACAAACCATATTGTTTGAAGAAGACAACAACAACATAATAATAATAATAATAAAATTGGAAGGGACCTTGGAGGTCATCTAGTCCAACCCCCTGCTCAGGCAGGAAACCCTACACCATTTCAGACAAATGGTTGTCCAGTCTCTTCTTAAAAACTTCCAGTGTTGGAGCATTCACCACTTCTGGAGGCAGGTTGTTCCACTGGTTGATTGTTCTCACTGTCAGGAAGTTTCTCCTTAGTTCTAGGTTGCTTCTCTCCTTGATTAGTTTCCACCCGTTGCTTCTTGTCCTGCCTTCAGGTGCTTTGGAAAATAGCTTAATTCCCTCTTCTTTATGGCAGCCCCTGAGATATTGGAATACTGCTATCATGTCCCCCCTTGTCCTTCTCTTCGTTAAACTAGACATACCCAATTCAGCAACCGTTCCTTATATGTTTTAGCCTCCAGTCCCCTAATCATCTTTGTTGCTATTCTCTGTACTCTTTCTAGAGTCTCAACATCTTTTTTACATCGTGGTGACCAAAACTGGATGCAGTATTCCAAGCATGGCCTTACCAAGGCATTGTAAAGTGGTATTAATACTCTATGTGATCTTGATTCTATCCCTCTGTTAATGCAGCCCAGCACTGTGTTGGCCTTTTTGGCAGTTGCAGCACACTGCTATCTCATACTTAAGTGATTGTCCACTAGGACTCCGAGGTCCCTCTCACAGTTACTACTATTGAGCAAGGTACCCCCTATACTATACCTGTACATTTGTTTTTTCTTGCCTAAATGTAGAACCTTACTTTTTTCACCATTGAATTTCATTTTGTTAGTTAGTGCCCAGTGTTCAAGTCTGTCCAGATCCTTCTGTATCTGAAGCCTGTCTTCTGGAGTGTTGGCTATTCCTGCCAGCTTGGTGTCGTCTGCAAATTTGATGATTTCCCCATCTATCCCCTCGTCCAAATTGTTGATGAAGATGTTGAAGAGCACTGGGCCCAGAACAGAGCCCTGGGGCACCCCACTACATACTTCCCTCCATATAGATGTGGTCCATTGAGGACCACACACTGAGTACGACTGGTCAGCCAGCTATGGATCCATCTGGTGGTGATGCTGTCTAACCCACATTTTTCTATCTTATCAAGTAGTAGGTTGTGATCTACTTTATCAAATGCCTTACTCAAGTCCAAGTAAATTATATCCACAGCATTCCTCTGATCCACTAATTTTGTCACTTGGTCAAAGAATGCAATAAGATTTGTCTAGCATGATCTGTTTTTGACAAACATGTGTTGGCTTTTAGTAATGACTTTGTTTGCCTCTAGGTGTTTGCTGATTTGTTGTTTGATTATCTTTTCCAGAATATTCCCAGGTATTGAGGTCAGGCTGATAGGTCTGTAATTTTCTGGGTCCATTTTTTTTCCTTTTTTGAAGATGGGAACTACATCAGCTCTTTTCCAGTCCTCCGGTAGTTCCCCAGTGCTCCAGGATCTTTGAAAAATATAGTTCAATGGTTCTGAGATCACATCTGCCAGTTCCTTGAGAACCCTGGGGTGTAATCTATCTGATCCTGGTGATTTGAACTCGTCTAGGCTGGACAGGTGCTCACTTACCGTTTTCTTGCCTATCTTAACTTGCGTTTCTATTTTGTTTTTTATGGCACTATTTTTGGTAGGTTGGTCTCTTTTTTCCCTTTATGTAAAGACAGATGCGAAAAACGAGTTAAATAGTTCTGCTTTCTCCCTGTTGCTTGTCACCTTCTTACCACTTTCCCCCACTAACGGACCAATCATTTCCTTCACTTTTTTCTTGTTTTTTACATGTTGAAAGAAGCTTTTTTTGTTATTTTTGACTTTGGTCGCAAGCCTTAGTTCATTTTGAGCCTTAGCTTTCCTCACTTTATCTTTGCAGGCTCGGGCTATTTGTTGATATTCTGACTTAGTTATGTGCCCCTCTTTCCACTTTCTATACTTGTCCTTTTTATCTTTCAGTTTATCAGAGAGTTCTTTATGCAGCCATGCTGGTTTCTTTTGAGAGCTGTTATTTTTCCTCTTTGTTGGTATTGTGCTGGACTGGGCTTTTATTATCTCACTTTTCAAAATTTCCCAAGCTTCTTGAGTTGTTTTCCCCTTGAGGATTCTCATCCATGGAATCCTTCCCAAGCCCTCTCTAAGTTTATTGAAATTAGCTCTCTTAAAGTCCAAGATTCTAGTTAGACTATGTTCTATTGCTTGTGCTTCCATAATGTTGAATTCCAATATTGCATGATCATTTCCTCCCAAGGTTCCTGTGGCTTGAACATCTTCTATCATTTCATCTGTTAGTGAGAATTAGATCCAAAATGGCTAATCCCCTAGTTCCCTTCTCTACTTTTTGGGAGACAAAATTGTCTGCTAGGTTTGCAAGGAATCTGCTTGATCTTCCACTTGGTGCAGAGTTTGTCTCCCAGTTGATGTCAGGGTAGTTAAAGTCCCCCGTTACTATTGTGATATGCTTCCTACATACCTTAGTTAGCTGACTAGCAAAAAGTTCATCTATTTCCTCTGTTGGTTGGGTGGCCTGTAGTATACACCTATGGCAATGTCATTTTTCTCCCTTTTATATTGACCCAAATACAAATGATCTTCTGCATGTAGTCATCAAGGAGTCAGACCTGAGGGAAATTTTACCTTATACCAGAAAGAATATATCACACAGAGACGTAGACCTGAAAGTGTCTTACTGGCTCTGATGGAGGAAATTCAGTGGTTGGACCTGGATAATCTTCCAGGGCACAGCCAGAATCACTGTCTGAAGATGAAGCAGGTGGTAGAGTAGTTACAGTTCTACTACATGGAGACTTCTCCCTCTGGGCCCAAATATGACTTGGCTGGGACATCCGAAAAAGGAAGTGCTGAAAAAAAAACAAGAGTCTATAAAAGAAGATCAATTCATCCCCTTCCCCTTACAGAACACTCTTAAATATGCTTTCCCAATGTGGCACCTCTGAGATGAGATAGACTTTGGCCACCAATGTCTCACTTATACATTTATTTGAAGGACAAAACTACTCACATATATTTAACATGGAATACAAAGATTTTCTACTAGAACTATGAGACAGAGGAGTAACAAAAGCAAATATTAATTGAAGCAAGTATTTCACAGGATCATTGCAATTTTGGGGGGGAGGGGTAAGTGAGGTTTGTAGTCATGTGGCCTTTTAAACCAAAAGGTTTACAGTGGGGGATTTTCCTTTTGCTCTTATATATATTAGTTAATCAAATTAGAATTCTTGTTAAAAGAACAAGCATAGTCATGTTCTATAGACATAAGTTATACTGCTAATCACTTAGTCAAATCTGACTAATTTCTCATTCACATATGGCTAAGGGGTACAAGTTTCATTCTGCCCCTATTTGCACTCTCTTATATTGAATGCCTTATACGCACAATACGTATTTTCTTAAATACTATGTAAATGGGAAATGGACATGTCACAAAGTAAAGCACAACCCTCCAGCATAAGTTTTATTCCCAGAATGCTTCTAGGCCCCATAAGTGTTCTTAAAAATTTGTTTTAAAAATGGTTGCTATAGCCAAATCTTTACTTGAGGTATGTCCTCCCTTTCTAACAAAAGACAGGGAAAAGATAAGTAGCATCCTATGGAGTTAGCTGAAACGGCAAGGAACACTCACACCAAATTTCTTCCTGATATGGCTATTTTGTGAATAGCTATGATATTTTTTATTGTGTGAGTACCCAAATCAAATGTGCCCATCATCTCCAAAATTTGTTGACCTCTGCGTTCAACAAGTTCCAGACTTACAAAAAAAATTAATACAAAAGTACCGGAAAAGAAAAATTATTGGTCCCTTAAAAGGATTGAAATTGAAAGGTTTAATGCTTCAAATATCTTGATGTTGTTTTCCACAGTCCTGGGTCCCACAAAGAGTATGCTGAGTTCACAGCCCAAAGTGCTCAGTGCAGTAGCTTTGGTGATAATTCTGATGGTAATTGATACTGGTAATTCTAGATTTCTTTCATTTCAGAGATACACATTTGTATTCCAACAACTTTTTAAAGCAAAAACCATAGCATAATTTTTCCATATAGTACTGGGACATATCCCAATTTATACCTCTGGAAATTACTTCAATCAAAATATCTAAGTGCAATCTTTCTTATTCCTAATTGTATTTTGTGAGCCTGGATTTTAGGTCTGGATCACAATCTTTTCATTATTGGCTAAACTGAATTTATCCCCCTTGTATTTGGATCCATTATACTTACAGAATCCTATCTTCTCACAACCACGTTAGATGTATGGTTTCTCTCCTGAAAGCCTTCTTGGTACCAGGATTAAGGAGTGGCAGAGTCCCCTCTAAGCAAGAAATAAGCGATATTTCTTTGATTACAAGTGATTGTGATTTGAATGGATTGCTCTTTGAAATTCACGGATCATTTATTTAATATAACAATTCACAATTATGGAATATCCTTGGTTAAGATTAAACCTTGTACTTGATACTTGTATTTGGGAAAACACATATTATATGAGAGTTCACTCTTGCAAACAGAACATCTTTCCAAGCTTATTGTGTATTTTATAAAGATATTTTGTTCCACTTTTCTTAGCTTCCTGCTTCCAACGCCCTTCCAATATTACTAAAATGCATTGAAATCACATTTTTTCTTACCATTAAATCTAAACACACATATAAATATTATTTATTCATTCAAACTGCCTTTATTTTTCATTATGAGTCACATAAAGCTTAGATGAAACATAGTGGCAAGCATATGCAAATAAACAAGGAACCATACGAGACATATGCTTTTTCAAAGACTAGTAGATGATTTCACATAATCCCTAATTTGTTACAAATTGCCTACAGGTGCTCGTTAACTGGAAGAGCATTCATTTTTTCCTTCTTCTTGAGGCCATGACTATTTCATAAATGGTTGACATAATACACATTTAAAGTCATGGTTGCTAATGTAAATTTCGGCTCTTGTTCCATTTATGCCTACCACTAGTGTTAAGACATCATATACAAAAAGTTTTTGCCAGCCACAAACATAATTGACTAGTGTGATAGCCTTGTTGTGATTGTGGTGTGGGTACATAGATTGACAGTGGCAGCTATCAACAATTGATCACCCTGACACATATGAAAGGAAGAAAATCACCCTGACACATATGAAAGGAAGAAATAAGTGAAACTTACTGAGGGGCAAAACATTTTGGTGGGCAAAAACAAAACAGCCTCCAAAAATCAGTTTTCAGATTGCTCTGGGTTCTGTTTGGGAGATGAAAGGATAGGGTTGGGCCTATCTTTCCCTTGTTACATAAAATCAGAAAGGACCATGGAATTAAAGCACTTGTAGGATTGCACCACCACATCATTCAGATAAAGCAGGGATCCTCAAACTTGGCCACTTTAAGACTTGTGGACTTCAATTCCCAGAATTCCCCATGCTGGCTGGGGAATTTTGGGAATTGAAATCCACAAGTCTTAAAGTGGCCAAGTTTGAGGACCCCTGAGATAAAGTATTCACATTCAAAAGTGAACAATCTTTTATATCAGTGAAAGTAGCAATGCTTTAGTGGAAATCTCTCAGAAACTATGCTGTGAAGGAGACCAAAGTAAATGTCTGTGTGAGAAAAGGACAGAATCTTAATTCAGTGGCTCTGCTGATACCATCCCATATTCTGTGGATCTGTCTACACACATTCCAAACTCTATGCTGCATTGTTATAGTCTTCCTTAACTTGGTACCTTCAGACAGGTTGAACTTCAACTTTAATCAGTCCAATCCAGGAGGGGAACACTTATCTATCAGGTATTAGTTATAGGTTAAGATAGGTATTATTACTACATAAGTAAAAAAAGTGGCTTAAGTGTGCAAATATATAATTAACATTTAAAAATAAAAATGAATCCAAAAACTGCTATCTTGCATGTTGCTTGAATTTCAGTTTCAGGATTTGGAGAGTCTTAGCTATGGATTTCTCAGTTATAACACACATATACATCCCTGCAAACTATAAAAAGCAGTAAAATCACCGGATCTTTCGCACGAAGCGAAAGTGGTGGCATTGTTTTTAGGGGAGCTCTTTTATGGGACCTTGGCATAGGCCCAACTTTGCCACCACACAATTGAGGACTCACACATCCTGTCTGTGAGAAAGCCTGACAATAGTCTTTTAGACTTGCCCTGGGCTTCATTTCCTTCCTGACTCTCCTGAAAGCATTGCAGAGATTTGCCATTTTAGGGAAATCTTTCAAAATGTCACCCTTTATTTTTGTTACTTTACTGAGTTTAAATATAATTATGTCACTTAATGCTGTTTCTTGTAACTTTTTTAAACAAATGTTTCTAGGCTTCACAGCTTTAAACAGCAGAACAGACATTTCATTCAACAACCTTGGGCTGTTCGTGCTGTGACTAGTTGAATTAATAGGCTTGGCATGTGCCCAGATTAGCAGCAAATCCCCTGCCATTGTGTGCAAACTGTTATACAGTTACTGATACATAAGCTGGCACTTGGGTGTGTGGCAAACCTGTCAACACTATTCCAGACTTAATTCAAACTGAGTTGATGTAATGAGTCCAACTTCCTAAAAAAATTATGAGTCAACTCCATTTTCCAAAAACATTTTCTACTCACGCAGCTATATATTTACATGACAAAGAGGCAGATACTGTTCAACAGTTTATTTTCAGAGATATGGCAATTTTTTGGTTCTTGTGTTAGACTCAGTTTTTATCTACTCTAGCTATGGGACATTTGATTTTTCCCTTCACGCCTTCATAAGCCTGCAGTGTTAATCATTCCCAGATGCTTGGGCAGGAAGTTCACATACTGGGAAACTTTCCTGGTTAATGGTTATGGAAAGAAACAAGGCTGATTTTATAACTCCCTTTTCCAGGTCTTCCCTGCTGACTTCCTTCCTCTTGTCCATTTCCAAAACAAAAGGGGTTTTGATGGGCAGTTTAATGGCTCAGTTCAACTTCTGTGACAACTTGGATACTTTCCCAGAGACCAACTCTCTCTAGTTAACTTTCCTTTCTCAACACCAAAGTGAGCAGAGAAAAAGAGGGAGAGGTGGCCTTGAATGGGGCTGAGAAACAATGAAGATGCAACAGTATTAGGAACCATCAGTGGTTATATCTTTAGTGGCAAGGAGGTGATCAGATCAGATGCAGTTTCAGCATATAGTTATAAAAAACTTTTCTGTCTAACTGGCAGGTAGCCAGAGAGCAAATACACAAGATCTACCTGATTCATTTGGGACATTTCATAATTTCTGAAATTTACCTCAGAATAGGTAATATATTTATTTATTTATTTATTTTCAAATATTTATATGCCGCCCAATCCCAAAGGACTCAGGGCGGCGTACAAAGTTAAAACAATCATAAAACAATAAAATAATACAGTCATACCGCGAGTCCGATCATATCCCGGCCCCCCGGGGACATCAGCCCCAGGCCTGCCGGAACAGGAGAGTTTTAACGGCTTTCTTAAAGGCCGGCAGGGTGGGAGTAGTTCGAACCTCGGGGGGAAGTTGATTCCACCAGGTCGGAGCCACCACAGAAAAGGCCCTTCCCCGAGGGCCCGCCAGCCGACATTATCTGGCCGACGGGACCTGAAGGAGGCCCAATCTATGGGACCTCACCGGTCTCTGGGAGCTGTGCGGCAGAATGCAGTCCTGTAAGTAACCTGGCCCTATGCCATGAAGGGCTTTGAAGGTGATAACCAACACCTTGAATTGCGTCCGGAGACCCACAGGAAGCCAGTGCAGCTCGCGGAGGATAGGTGACACGTGGGCGTACCTTGGCGCGCCCACAATCGCTCTCGCGGCTGTGTTCTGAACCAACTGCAGTCTCCGAACACCCTTCAAGGGTAGCCCCATGTAGAGCGCATTACAGTAATCCAGTCTTGAGGTGACAAGGGCATGAGTGACTGTGAGTAAAGCCTCCCGGTCCAAATAAGGCCGCAACTGGTGCACTAGGCAAACCTGTGCAAAGGTCCTCCTGGCCACAGCCGATAGATGTTGTTCCAGATTTAGCTGTGAGTCCAGGAGGACACCCAAGTTGCGTGCCTGCACTGAGGGAGGTAAATTTGCCCCCCCCAGGACTAAAGATGGACCATCCAGTATAGCATAAATTACTCTAGTTTCAACTACAGTACTTATGTTTTAGGTTGGGAGGAGGAATGGACACATAATAGTAATAATAGTAATAGTAATAGTAGTAATAGTAATAGTAATAATAATAATAATAATAATAATGTTGGAAGGGACCTTGGAGGTCATCAAGTCTTCTATAAATTGCCATTAGATTGCAAAAAACTGTCCCCAGATCAACTTTATGTTTCACGATTTTTGATTTTCAACACACATTCTTGGATATTATTGGTACCTCACTACAAAATGGCAATTACACAGTTAAAATCTTCAGCAAAAAGAAGGCAAGGCAACTGGAAACTGTAAAGATCAGCAACAAACTATAGAGTTTAATGACCAACGAATTCTTTTCAAGGCCTTCAACAGCCTGCCTATTTTTTGGTATAGTGCAGTCTTCTTAACTATAATTAGCAAAGCAAGCTCACGTTGTTTAGTTTGCATCTGGATCAGTAATTAACTCAAATTAAATGGTGGGCAGGAGGAAAAATAATAGTTGATTTTACGGGATTCCAATACCTTACCTCCCAAATGCAGCACTGATATAGATAGATAACTTTATTTAAGCCTTGGAGAAGAGGACTATTCTCTAGCAAGGTTTATAAGAGCAAATGGCCATGTGAAAAAAAAAAATTAATTGTATAACAGCAGAAGGTGGGGAGGAAAATATGTTTCTTTAGGGCCTGTGCAAATTAAGAAGTTGAATTAAGTTCAACTTTATCAGTGATATCCAACTGGATCAAACAGACTCGCTAGCGATATCGCTGATAAAACAGATGAAATAGATCTAAATTTTCATCTCACTGATAAAACAGATGAAATAGATCTAATTTCATCTGAAACAGATGAAATAGATCATGCAAGTGAGAGAAACCCAGCACCAGAAAAATTCCTATTTAGCGGGGATTTAGGAGGATGAAGTGAAACTCCATACTGCACATATGACCAAAACACATACTATCACTATTTTAATTGAATTTCACAATAATTGATGTTGTTTATTTGCATATTAGCACAGATTGAATGAAAGCTGTAAAACTAAACTGGATTCTTGCTAATCCTTAAGAATTTGTAAAAATCAAACTATGGCTTTCAAAACCCTAATCAATTGTAATATATCCAACAAATGATGGTTAAGGCTAATTTAAAATGCAGTGAGTATATTTCCAATTTCACTTAAGCTGGATCT